TTTCTTCTTTGATTGTCTTGCATGTACACAAACTTTCTTTCCACATCTGAGAGCCTATTTTCATTTTTTTGCGTTTGTTGTTTGAGTACCAGTTGTTCCTGTATACTTCTTTCAATTTCTGCTTTGTTTTTTCGTATTTCTCCCTGTGCAGTCTCCAGGGCTTCTCTTATCAGACCATATGTTTTTCTATGGGTGAGCGGACATCACTTGAACTGCCCTACCTCAGGGCTAAGCATCCTCAATTGTTTGCTGGCCTTTTTGAAGATCATAGAATCATCGAATCACTGAGTTGGCAGAGAACTTGGGGGCCATCCAGTCCAACTTCCTGCCAAGGATCAGGAAAATTGAATTCAAAGCACCTTCGATAGATGGCCATCCAGCCTCTGCTTAAAAGCCTGCAAAGTAGGAGCTTCCACCATGGTCCAGGGCAGAGAGTTCCACTGCTGAACAGCTCTCACAGGAAGTTCTTCCTAATGTTCTGGTAGTAGTTTGAAGCCATTGTTCCACATCCTAGTTTCCAGGGCAGCAGAAAACAAGCTTGCTCCCTCCATTCCCTGACTTCCCTTCACATATTTATACATGGTCCTCATTATGTCTCCTCTCAGTCTTCTCTTATGCCCATCTCTTTAAGCCGCTCCTCATAAGGCTTGTTCTCCAGACCATATGGTTTTCTGTGGGCAAGCAGATGGTGACTACTGGATGACATATGTTATGTATCACAAACTAGAGCTGATGTGGTTTAGCCAATGCCATTTTCTGAATCAGCACTCAAAATAACCAAACCAAATCTAAAGTTGAACAAAACCTGATTTGTAACCCTTTTGGTGCTAATGTTGGACATTTTGCCTGCATCTATAGCAGGCATCCTCAGAGGTTGTGAGGTCTATTGGAAACTAGGAAAATGGGTTTATATATATGTGGAATGTCCAGGACGGGAGAAAGAACTCTTGTCTGTTGGAGCTAGGTGTGAATGTTTCAGTTGGTCGCCTTAATTAACATTTAATGGCCTGACAATTTTCAAAGTGTGGCTTGTTACTGCCCGGGGGAATCCTTTGTTGAGTGCTGATTAACTGTCCCTGATTGTTTCTTTTCTGAAATTCTCCTGTGTTTGAGTGTTGTTCTTTATTTACTGTTATAATTTTAGAGTTTTTTTTAATACTGGTAGCCAGATTTTGTTCATTTTCATGGTTTCCTCCTTTTTGTTGATATTGTCCACATGCTTGTTGATTTCAATGGCTTCTCTGTGTAGTCTGACATGATAGTTGTTGGTGTGGTCCAGCACTTCTGTGTTCTCAAATAATATGCTGTGTCCAGGTTGGTTCATCAGGTGTTCTGCTTTGGCTGACTTCTCTGGTTGAAGTAGTCTGCAGTGCCTTTCATGTTCCTTGATTTGTGTTTGGGCGCTGTGTTTGGTGGTCCCTATGTAGACTTGTCCACAGCTGCATGGTACATGGTAGACTCCTGCAGAAGTGAGAGGATCCCTCTTGTCCTTTGCTGAATGTTATATTTGTTGGATTTTCTTGGTGGGTCTGTAGATAGTTTGTAGGTTGTGTTTCCTCATCAGCTTCCCTATGCAGTCAGTGGTTATTTATTATTATTATTATTATTATTATTATTATTATTATCCCTTGAAGTATGGCAAGAACACTTTTCCTCTGGGTGGATCTTTGTCTTTACTCTCCTAGCTTGTTCTCGCTCTTGCAGCTCTTCTGATGTCTGTGGCGAAGTATCCTTACTTACTTAGGCGATCCCTCGTTGTCCGAGTAGGATGTACTGGCGGTGGACTTGTAGGTGACTGTGGAGCCCTATTCATGTTGGTTCCAGGTGGGAGGTGGTCCCGGTCAGGGTTGGCTTGACATGGCTTCCTCTTGGCACGTTTCTCTCTTTTGCCCTCTATTCCTGCTCTTCAAATTCCATAGCACTGCTGGTCACAGCTGACCTCCAGCTGGAGCACTCAAGGGCCAGGGCTTCCCAGTTTTTAGTATCTATGTCAGAGTTTTTAGGGTTGGCTTTGAGCCAATCTTTAAATCTCTTTTCCTGCCCACCAACATTCTGTTTTCCGTTCTGGAGTTCGGAGTAGAGCATGCTTTGGAGTATCCATTGGCCTGTCAAGTCCAGTTTAGGTGGTTCAGTTGGTCAGGGACCATTGGATAGACCAGTTTAGGTGGTTCAGTTGGTCAGGGACCATTGGATAGACCAGTTTAGGTGGTTCAGTTGGTGGGGTTCTCTCGGGAGGTCTCTCGTTCATAGCAGATTTCATGCAAGTCGGTTTAAGAGCAGATGCAGTTCACCCGGGTGGCGCTGCTTGGCTTTTTCCTCAATCACAGCAGAGGCATCTGAAGCTCTTGGAAAGCTTCTCAGCTCCTTCTGAAAAAAAAAGGAGGGGGGGGGAGCAAGGAAGACCCTCCCACTGCATTCTCTCAGCCCCTCCTTTCCGTCGTGGGGGAAAGGAACAAAACTACAAGTCCCAGAATCCTCCAGCGCCGGCCTCACTACACCTGCCCGAGGGGAGTCCCGCCTGTTTGTGGCGGCGAGGAGGAGGAGGAGGAGGAGGAGGAGGAGGAGGGACGGAGATGAGGATGGAGCGAGGCGAGGCGGCGCCGGCGGGCCCGAAGGCTGCTGCTGCTGCTGCTCCTCCTGCTCCTGCTGCTCCTTCTTATGGCTGGGAAGGCAGCCCCCCGGGGCCCGGCCCCCGAGGCAAGTGGGTCCGGCTCAACGTCGGCGGCACGGTCTTCTTGACCACCCGGCAGACCCTGTGCCGCGAGCAGAAGTCCTTCCTTTGCCGCCTCTGCCAAGGCGAGGAGCTGCAATCCGATCGGGTGAGCGAACAAAGGGAGGCAGGGAGGGAAGCCAGCAAGCAAGCCAGGAAGGAAGGGGCGCCTCGGTTAGAGCATGTTCTGAGCGCTCTGTGTTGTCATCCCCGAGCATGCACTTCCACTGGAATCGCTGAAATGCTTTGCCTGTACATGTGCCCTGTTGGTTAGACTCCAAAGGAATCCCAAAGCCCCCATAGGGATCCCCAAGCGCTCATGGCTCTCTTCGGATGCACACATATCTCCAGGCAGATCTTGGTGTCTATTTGTAACTACTGTTAGGTGCTCTAGAGAGTTGTAGAATTGTACTCCCAAACTGGAGACCCCGGTGGCGCCATGGGTTACAATAAACTCTTGAGCCTGCAGGTAGGAGGTTCGAATCCGGGAAGAGCGGGGTGAGCTCCCTCTGTCAGCTCCAGCTTCCCATGGGGGGCATGAGAGAAGCCTAACACAAGGATGGTAAAACATCAAAACATCCGGGCGTCCCCTGGGTAACGTCCTTGCAGATGGCCAATTCTCTCACACCAGAAGCGACTTGCAGTTTCCCAAGTCGCTCCTGACACACACACACAAACAATGTCAGGATCGACTTACAGTTCCTCAAGTCACTCCTGACACACACAAACATAAACAGTGTCAGAACTGACTTACAGTTTCTCAAGTCGCTCCTGACACACACACACGTTAGTCTTCCTTGGAGGTAGAAAATTCCCAAGAGTGAAGTCCCAGTGTTTTCTTTCTTCTTCCCCTGTTTATTTTTACCTTGTCATTGTTTGAAGGTTTTCTGGCTTATGCCATGCGGGCCTTATTAAACAAGCAAACTTCTTTTCTGATTGGACTAAGTATAGGCCATTGGATAAAAAATGGGACTTTTAAAATTCGTTTATTTGGATCTCACCTCAGGAACCCCCGGTGACACAATGGATTAAGTGCCGTCAGGACTGAAAATTGACAAGTCGGAGGCTCGAATCCAGGGAGAGCATGGCTGAGCTCCCTCTGTCAGCTCCAGCTCTCCATGCAGGGACATGGGAGAAGGATGGTAAAACATCAAAAAATCCAGGTGTTCCCCTGGGCAACGTCCTTGCAGACGGCCAGTTCTCTCACACCAGAAGCGACTTGCACTTTCCCAAGTCGCTCCTGACATGAAAAAAAGTCCTTCATAGAATCCTAGAGTTGGGAGGGGTCCCCAGAGTCATCCAGCCCAACTCTGCTCTTCCTAATGTGTAGATGGGATCTCTTTTTCCTGCCATTTGCATCTATAGTCTCTCGGATCTAAAAGCCTTCACAGGGATTCCAAAGAAGGAAAAGTTCAGTTTGACAGGAAAGGAGATTCCACCTGAACATGAAGAAGAACTTCCTGACTGTGATATCTGTTCAGCAGTGGAACTCTCTGCCCCAGAGTGTGGTGGGGGCTCCTCCTTCTTTGCAGTCCCAACCTCCTGCCAAGGAGCAGGAAAATCGCATTCAAAGCACCTCCTGCTCATCCAGCCTCTGCTTAAAAGCTTCCAAAGAAGGAACCTCCACCACACTCTGGAGCAGAAAGTTCCACTGCTGAACAGCTCTCACAGTCAGGAAGTTCTTCCTAATGTTCAGGTGGAATCTCCTTTCCTGTAGTTTGAAGCCATTGTTCCGCATCCTTGTCTCCAGGGCAGCAAAAAACAAACCTGCTCCCTCCTCCCTGTGACTTCCTCTCACATATTTACACATGGCCATCATGTCTCTTCTCAGCCTTCTTTTCTTCAGGCTAAACATGCCCAGCTCTTTAAGCCACTCCTCATAGAGCTTGTTCTCCAGACCCTTGATCATCTCCAGGAAAAGACATCAAAAAGTGTGCTTTCCTGTAACTTCCAACCAATAGACAAAGAGTGCACCTGCACTGTAAAATGAATGCAGTTTGACATTGCTTTAATTGCCATGGCTCAATGCTTTGGAATCCTGAGATTTTTCGTTACAGTGTAGATGCACCCCAGGCCTCTCAGACCCCCAGTTGACTTCCATGTGATGGCAGTTTTCAGTACTCCCACATGAAAAGGAAAACCTCTTTCGTTCAATTCTTTGTTTCTGCAAAGTCACATCCGCACAGCAGTTTTGCTTCCCAACTGTGACCCTGGGGTTGCTCAATTTAGATTCAGGATACACCAGATTTTTTCTCCACTGCACATGCCCCCACCCATTAGGTTTTGGATTTGGGGAGATTTAGGAAAGGGGACAGCCGGCCCGGCAGTGTACATAAGCTGCTTAAAGAGGCAAAGTTCTCTGGGCTGGGATCGGGTCGAAATACAGAGAGTTGGAATAGAATAAAACTTTGGGTAAGATCCCAGCTGCAGTCAGTACTAGAGTTAGCAATGAAATCAAGTTAACTGTGAAACCAAGGGATTGGAACTCTTTCCCACCCCACAGGTCTCTGAAGATCTCTCTTCTGGGGGATCTGACCCATGACATGTATTTTGTTGAAAATATTTATCCCTGAGGCACTACTGGCATCACTTTCATTGTGTACACCAGGGTTGGACTGTGGTGAAATGTGGCCCCGGGGAAATACTTTTATTGTTTGGCTCCTGTTCCTTTCAGAGGCATGCCATTTCCTGCTTAAAAACCAGTAAAGGATCTCACAAAAGCTGTACAATCACTGCCTTTGTCTCATCTTGCTTGTATCATCATCTGATTGTGAAGCCTTTTTATTTGTTCATCCCCAAAACATCTAAGAGTTTAAGATGCCACGTGCTAGGTTGTGAGTGCAAGAGTTTCTCATGGTACTTGATGCCTTTGTACTTATTTACTTACTTAGGCGATCCCTCGTTGTTTGAGTAGGATTGTCTTCCAAGACTGGGGGTGGGTATGTAGGTGACTGTGGAGCCCTATTCTTAATCTGCATCTTCTCCCATAGTGAGGGCATAGGTTTCCAGGTGCAAGGCAGTCCTGGTTAGGGTTTGCTTGATGCGCCTCCCGCTTGGCATGTTTCTCTCTTTTGCCCTCCATATGTGCCTCTTCAAATTCTGCAGCACTGCTGGTCACAGGTGACCTCCAGCTGGAGCGCTCAAGGGCCAGGGCTTCTCAGTTCTCAGTGTCTATGCCAGAGTTTTAAAGGTTGGCTTTGAGCCCATCTTTAAATCTTTTTTCCTGCCTACAAACATTCCATTTTCCATTCTTGAGTTCGGAGTAGAGCAACTGCTTTGGGAGACGGTGGTCGGGCATCCAGACAACGTGGCCAGTCCAGCCTTTGTAGTCCCATGTTGGGTGCTCAGAGTGCATGACTAGCATAAGTCTAAAGCTAGTGTGGCGTAATGGTTTGACTAAGCCTCTGGAGACCCTCCATAAAACCTTGCTCAGTCATGGAAACTCACTGTGTGGTCTTGGGCAAGTCACACTCTTTCAGTTTCAGAGGAAGGCAAGGGCAGCACCCCTCTGAACAAATTTTGCCAAGAAACCTCATGATAGGTTTGACTTAGGATCCCCGTAAGTGTGAAATGACTCAAAGGAATGCAATAACAACAGTAGGTATATACACTCCTACTTCCTTTGAGTGCACTAGGGCCACTCAAGGATGTGGTAAGAAACGGTATCTTTAAAACTATCCTTAATCACTGGGAGGGGTGGAAAACAAGTCTTTTCTTGAAATTTCTAGCTTTCAAACTGTTTAATGACCAAGAAAATTGCAGTTTCTCAAGTCACTCCTGACACGACCAAAAAAACAAAAACACCTCCAAGAAAATACCTAAGGGCAGCCCATAAATAGGACCTGAATACAATGAAATTTTCCCCAATTGGTAGCTGGTTGCTGCCATTTCATCCTGGTTTTAATCCAGGTGTTGAGGGAGTTCTCCAAGGTGCTGAGCTCTAAGTAAATGTTGAACTTTGAGTGGCACTGATAACACTAGCAAAATCTGGAATAAATTAATTCCCCCATCTGATATGGGAGCAACTACTAGGGATTGCTGGTTCTTGCTCATATTTCCTAAGAAACTTGAAATTGAGGGCTGTTCTATTTCTGATGCCGGAAATAATGCACATCAGTTATGGCAAGTAGCCACTGATAATCTTAAAACCTCCATTAGTTTATCTAATCCCCCTTTAAAGCTGTCTGCCATGGTGGCTGTAAATACACTTCGTGACAGGCTATTGAATTCCTGAGTTTAGCTCTGGACTCTGGGAAAAAGTAATTTCTTCCTCACATCTGTTTTCTGTACACCATGCATCATTGTCTCAACATCTCTCATTCCTTGCCTTACACCTTTTTCCAGCCTTGCAATATGGCTTTTGGCATAAAGCAACCATCTGCACACACTATCCCCAGTATGATTGCAGAGTAGATTTATATAAAGGCATTATCTTGTTATTAGTAGATTTATGATGATATGTTTTGTGATATTATTAGTGGATTTATATCAAAGCATTACGACATTTTACTTTCAGCCCTTTTTCTAGCAATTCATCATGTGCATTCGGGACTTAACTTGATCTGTTTCATGTCCCGGCTTTCGGTGGTGGCCCTGATCCATTTTTGTCTGAGCCTCCTAATATTGAAAAGTCAGATATTTGGGTTTTTTTGTTTTTGTTTTCATTATTTTGGGGGGGGGGTTACCCATAGACCCAAAGTGCTGCTCCTTACTCGGTGCTCAGCTGCAGGTCAATGGGTGCAAGCTTCCCAGCCCATGTGACTGGGTTTAGCAGGGCCTGCAGCTGATTGCTGAGTAAGGAGATCTCCATACTTGATGCTCAGTTGCAAGTCCTGCCAGGCCCGGACGTGTAGGCCAAAGTGCCAGGGTGATTGCAACCAAGTGTTGTGTAAGGAGCGCTCCTTACTCAGCACTCAGATGCAGGCCCTGCCAGGCCCCACCCAATCCATCTGAAAAGCAGGCATGCCTGCCTTTCATATCAATTGCATTTTCATTTCAGAAGAGGCCTTTCCATTTTGTGCCATCCAAATGAATGGAATGAAATGGAAACACAAATGAAACAAATGGGACAAATTTCGGGCCCATGACTACTAGCAATTCCCAGCATAGCATACACCTCTTTCACAGTTATCACACACTGCATTAATGTTTTCATTGAGTTTTTTGTCATGATCTCCAAATTTCCTTCGCAAACACTGTGGATATTTTCAAAAAAGATGTGTGAAAGGTGTGTGTCTTGTTTCCAGTTTATAGGAAGCACCAGTTACCTGTAGGCCAGCTTTTAATTTTTAATGAGTTGTTGATCCTTCCGAGAATCTGTCTTCTCAATCCTATGACTGCCATGGAAGTTTTGCATGGGAAACTTGGCTAAATGGGTTTTTGTTTAAAGAAAGGCCAAACTGACCATATGTCTGGATTGCTCCATCCATATCCAAACACTGTATCTATTGGGTCACCACATCCAGACTCTGAAATGTTTGCTGAAATACAAGGGCTGAATTTGTTCTTTCTTTGTATTTTGTTAGGATGAAACTGGTGCATACCTCATTGATAGGGATCCCACTTATTTTGGACCCATTTTGAATTTCCTCCGACATGGGAAATTAGTGTTGGATAAAGATATGGCTGAGGAAGGTAAGCCTTTTGATTTGTACAATTGTGAAATCCAGGTAAGTGACTGTCTGATGTTGCTTGAGGTGGGCAGTGGCATGAATTGAGTGGCTGGAGATGGAGATGGAATGACTAGAAGAACTGAACCCGGTGCTCTCCAGGTGTCTTGGCCATGGCAGCAGGGGATGGTGAAAGTTGAAGTCAAGCATCATGCTGACTGGGGAGATGGGGAGTTGTACTTCAATGCACCTGGAAGGCACCAGGTTGAGAAAAGGAGAGCTAGCCAATATCCTATAGAACAAGAGTAGGAAATCTCTTTCTGCTTGAGATTCAAATTCATTTTCAAATCACACAGGAGTCATATTCCAAGGGTAAGAAGGCAAAAGTCATGGGTGTGTGGATGTGCCTTCGAGTTATCCGTCAACTTATGATGATCCAATTTATTTAATAGGCTTTTCTTAGGCAAGGAATACATAGCAGCAATTAGGCTTTGTCTTCCTCTGAGTTATAGCCCATAGTTCCTGGCATTCCTTTGTAGTTTCTCATCCAAGTAGTAACCAAAGCTGAGTAGCTTCCACCACCAGAGATGATCTGGTGCCTTCATGGCATTTGGACCTCAAGGAAAGAAAAGATTGTCACCCAAAATGCCAGCAAATGTTACTCTTGCTACTGATAATTAAGCCTTTGTTGTTGTTATCTGCCTTCAGGTTGACTCTGATTTACAATGACCCTGGTCATGGGGCTTTCCTGACAAGAATTATTCAGAGGAGGAATACCATTGCTACCTTCTATGATGTCCCTGATATCACCCAGTGGGTTTCCATGGCTGGGTGGAGATTTTGAACTCTGTTCTCCCACAGTCCAACACTCAGATCATTACACTGACCTTAGGACAAAACAACACATTTTAGTCTTTTCAAAACTCACATGCAAAAGCTGGGCAGAGACCCAATAATGGTATCATGGGGAAATGGTGTAGTCATTTAGGGAATGGTAGAAGGCTATATTCAGCTCTAGAAGGCCCAGATTCAGCCCTGGGGCCTAACATTCCTTATCCTTTCTGTAAACTCAGAAAGATTTACTTACAATGTTGCTAGCATTCACTGTTTACACAGTACAAATAGTAACCCTTGTTTTATTGTGATGCATCCATTTTTTAAAAGAAGGAATCCTTCATCTATGTTGTGTATATGTGAAGAAAAAAATCAACTTTTGTTTATGCAGTACAAAGGAATGGACCAAATATATCATTCTGGGACTGTATGTTTTGAATAAGTGTATTCACTTACGTTTGGATAACTTGAATGTTTATAACATGTGTCCCATCTGTTAAGAAGCAAGAATTTAAGAGCTATGCCCTTTTTTTCTGAGCTGCTAAACCCCAAGGAGTCAAACAAACTCCTACAGGGATTCCAAAGCACAAATGGTTCCATTGAATCTACACTGCACATTTGGCAGATCTTTGTGGCACACCGTGTCTTTAATGCTGAACTAAATGATCCGAAATCATTTATTCAGGCAATACAGTATCCACAGTTGTTTTTTGTCCTAGCAATTTCTTTGCCTTATGGGGTGGGATGGGGCTGCAATTCTAGGACTCTTCACTGTAAGGTGAGAGTTGCAGGTGCACTTCAGTGATATCCAGAAGGCTGCATCCCAGTGTATAATAATACCCAGTCCTAAATGCTTGGTAAGTGTTCGACTTGTGATTTTGTGATACAAAATCCAGTATATATATCTCATTTGCTGTGTCATACTGTGTTTTTGTGTCAGAATAATAATAATAATAATAATAACAATAATGTTTTGTTATTTGCCTCTTGCTGCAGCTCGAGGTGGGATACAACATCATTAAAATGAGATAAAACACCTATAACAAGATACACAGCTAAAATACAAGTTAAAATCCACTAATAAAATGCAGATTAAAATTCACAACTTAAAAATGACCTAGTAGGCCTGCCAGAAGAGATACGTTTTAAGATGTGTTTAAAATTCTGACAATTTATTTGGCTGTTGGAGCTCTTCTGGCAAGTTGTTCCACTGACTTGGGGAGGCCAGTGAAAAGGTCCTCTGGTGACGGTTGCCAGTTGAGTTCTGGCATGCTGGAGTAACTCCCTCCAGAAGACCTAAGTGTTTGGGGTAGATAGTACAGGAGGAGGTGAACCTGTAGGTAACTGAGATCTAAACCAAGTAGGACTTTAAAGGTCAAAACCAACACTTTGTACTTTGCTCGGAAACTAATCGGCAGCCAATGGATGTTGGTGTCACCAATCAGGCTACTGTGTTTTGAACTAATTAGAGTTTCTGAACTTGTTACAGAGGTAGCTCATTGTAAAGCACATTGCAGAAGTCTAGTTGTGAGGTTTCCAGTGCATGCATGACCATCTTTTGGTCCCCAGAAGGGGTGCAGCTGATGTATCAGCTGAATCTGATAGTAAGAACTCCTGACTGTCATGTCAACTTGGTCCGAAAATAGGACAGATGGGTCCAGGGTCACTCCCAAGCTGCGAACACAGTCTTTAGGGGGAGTGTAACCCCATCCAGAACTGGCTGACACACCTCCATCCCTAGATTAGAACCTTTAATGGCAAACACCTCTGTTTTGTCCGGATTCAGTATCATTTGTTTTTCTTCATTCAACCCATTACCTCCTTCAGGCATTCATTCAGAGGATACACACTATCCTTAGGTAGAACTGTTTGGAAGACAAAGAGAAATATGTTTGGGTGTCATCAGCGTACTGATAGCACCCTGCCACATTCTCAGCCCCTACAGGCATTCCATGGTCAATGGTATCGAAAGCCGCTTAGAAGTCTGGAAGCACCAACAAGGACACACACCCCTTGTCAGTGTTAAGACAGAGAACACCCATTAGGGCAACCATAGCAATCTCAACTCCGTGTCCGTCTCTGCAGCCAGTTTAAGATCAGCCAAGGAAGTGTGTTTCAACCAAGAGTGCCTAAAGTTGGAGGGCAATCGCGTTCTCAATCATCATGCCCTAAAAAGGAACGTTAGAAACTGGTCTGTAATTATTTATTACTGACTACCTCTTCTTTTAAACAGGATGAAAATGTCCCCTCTCTGAGAGATGCATTAATAATTTATTGTATGGCTTACTTGGCTTGAATGACTTCATATCACAGTATCTCTCGCTATACTTATTCCATACATGGAACCTGGAATACTGTGCATGGGAGAGGGAGAGGGAGAAAAGAATAGCAAGGCCATTATAACAACAAGGACATTTAGCATCCTAAAGAAGGAAGAGAAGTTTTGCTTTCTTGTTTTCCCCTCTGTGAGTTTCAAGCTCTTAATAGGCAGAGCTGCTTTTTCCTCTACTTTTAGAGAGGAAGGAAAGGGAGAGGCTGCAAGGGCACTGTTCCAAATAAAGATAGCTTGTCCGAATTGATTCTGGACAGTAAGAGCTGCTGCCTGAAGTTGCTAGATCCTGTCTGATCTTGGAAACAAAGTAGTGCAAGGCCTGTTTAGTACTTGGAAGGGAGACCACCTGAAAATATCAGGTGCCTTAAGACTATATTTGGAAAGAGGGAACGGCAAATTTCTTTGAATATTTGTTGACTAGGAAAACCTTTTGATATTCATGGGGTTGCCATAAATTAGCAAATAATTTGAAAGTATATACTTTTCTTTTCTTAGATGTGTTCTGATTCCTCCACAGGTTCATTAAGAGACTACTATAATTTCATGCTAGTGGAGAAGTTCATTTGTGGGGATAGACACAGATGTAAATAACTACAAAATAAAAACAACAACAAAAAAAACCCAAAGGCAAATATTTTATTTGCCTATGCTGCAACCAGTAGCCTGCCCTATGAGCATCCTACAGAATTGTAATCAAAGAAGGAACCATGCCAGTGTTTCCATTATTGTCATGGGGTAGGTTGGGGGGGATGCCAAAGTAAGTGAAGCTCCTTTGGAGACTGAGTGAGAACTATTTTTTATCAGCCACTAAGGTTACGAAGGAGTGCCCCAAGCCAATGCTTCTTAAGCTATTTGAGATGGAAGATCAGTGGGGTGGGGAACATGTTTTCATATTTCTGCCCCTTGACTACAACTCTTACTCCCCCCCCCCCCAAAAAAAAAACCTTTCTGTGAACCAGACTTCTGACAGTATCTGGAGCTCCAAGCTTATCTGAAGGTCATCTCAACCCATTCGCTTGTGCAGAAGCTTCATCTCTCCCATAGAATTCATCACAAAAAGCCTACATGATAATACATTAGTAGCACGGGAGAATGTTGTTATTCATGTAGTAAATTTAAACATTTATTTACTGTTTTTTATTGTCCTGGTTATTACTTAATAGTAAGTTCTTATTATATTAATTTTGCAATAATTATTTTTTGTAAAGAAACAGGTTTCTTCTAAATAAGAAGATGCATACATTCCATTTTCCTATGTTGAATGTAAATTGATTTTTTTTTGAGTCCCTTGTCCTTCCCTCTCCAACTCCAATTTATTCAGATTGCATAATCTTAAGCCTTTGTGTTGTCTTTGTTGTGTGGCATTTCTTATATTCATCTAAAAAGAATTCTCCATGTCAATTTATTTATTCATGGAGTTGTTTTCTGCATGCAAGAGCATAGAGTGGGTACATGTTCCAAGACTGCCTTGTGCCATCCTGTCATTATTTCCCCATCTGTGCATTTCTCCTTTCAAATTAGGATAATATCCTAAAATTGTATTTACCTTTTCCTTTGCTGAGATCACATCATTCTGTTCTAATAGAACAGAGTCATAATTTGCTCATAATCGTACAATGCTGCTTGAACAGAACTCCTTTATTTTCCAGAAGATGAGTCTCCTGTTATATAGAAAAGATGATTATTTTTAAACCCAAATGACTCCTCCATAGTTTTCTAATTTAAGCCCCATGCAGACATTTGCCGCCAAATGGGGAGGAGACATGTGTATGCACAAAACCCGAAATACATGCCTCTATTTCATGCCTGGCTTTTAGTGGTCCTTGAGTATTTAAGTGCAAAGAGCTGCAAAGCATATTCTGTGGAAAATTGTCTGCAACTGGAAGCGAAAGGCAGGGCTCTTGAAAGCTCAGAGCTTTTCAGATGCTTCTGGGATGCTCTGCCTCAGCATATTAGATTCTGCAGGCTGATAATGGAGAGAAGGTTGTGCTTTTTATGCCAGGAATGTGAAATAGCCTCCTCAAGTAGGTTATCCCAGATGTCCACTGTTATACCATCATTGGAATTTCTTTTGGTTTCTCTGCACTCTCTCCCCATCCCATTTCTAAAAGTTTGCAATGTTTCCTAAAATTTAGTTAGTGGCAAAAACAGCTTTACATGGTAAACTCTGGGATCTCTGAGAATGTAGCCTACGAGAATTTCTCTAACATTGAATCAGGCCCTCAGGTAGAACAAAGATTTTCATTCTTGTTGTATACCTTGAGCCTCCAAAATATATCCAGTGCTAGGCTAGGTCAACCACTGATGTGATCCAGCTGAGCTATTTTTCATTCATAGGGAATGCTTGGTTGCTAACTCTTATTTTACACAGGACAGTGTGCCCCAGAATTCCTGGAATACAGGTAGTCCCCGAGTTAGAAACATCTGACTTTCAAATGACTCATAGTTAAGAATGGGGGTGAGACAACAGGAAGTGAGATAAATCTACCTCTCCGGGGGGAAATTAATTCCTGAAAGAGTTATCATAGGGGAAAGATGTCTCCACTGAAATTGTAGCACCAATAATTGTTTCCAGAATAAGCCAGATTTTCCGAAATCCACCAGGACAGAAAGTAAGGTGAAATCTTCTGAGTGGGGCACAGAAAGCAAAACAAACACCACAGGGGTCTTAACTCTTCCCTTCCAACGCTACAATTTATTTAGATGCCTGGAGTTACACTTAAAAATTTACCTATTCTGACTTCCATACAATTTCAACTTAAGAACAAACTTATAAAACGTATATTGTTCATAACTTGGGGACTGCGTGTATAGGGAAAAATGAAAGAGAGTTGGTGCTTTATTTATATTTCAAAATTTACTGTTTTGCATAATGTCACTCTGTTGCCTCAGCAAGTCCTATGGAGTTATGTGCTCTTCTACCTTCCTTTCTAGAAATCTTTTTCAGCTACTTTTTTATCATTTGAGATTTTAGTAGTTATTGCAAGCAGCTCTATGTCATTAAAAATATTTTAAAACTGGAGTGGAAGAATAAAAAAATAGCTGATACAAATAAATAAAAGCTATGATTCTCAAGAAGATGAATTTTGACTCCATATCACATTCTTTATGTGTGTTTTGGAATTCTTCCATGGCATTGTGGCATGGCCCCAGCACTGAATAAATCCCATGAGTTTAGCTGGAATCTTTCTCAATATGTAGGCTTAGGTTGCACTATACTCTCTTCCTAATGGAGTCTTGTTTATTTATTTATTTTATGTAGAAAGCATTTCATAAACTGATAAAATATAGGGAGCACAAACGGGCAACAGTGACCACATTATCTGTACCTGTAAACAATTCTTCCTCTGCGCATGTGTCAGGGCATTGCGAGCAAGCATGCAGATGCATTGTTTGTTCTAACCCACAATCACACAAGGTGGAGGATTCTTCTAGGTAGTGCCATTTTGCCAGGCTGCCTTTTGATCTGCTCACTCTGCTTCTGAGTCTGTTCAGGCACTTCAAGTTGCCCATTCTTGGTTTCTCCTGGAGGCAGACACTTATAAGTGTGTGTGGGGGTGGGGGGTGGGGGGGTGGGGGTGGTATCCATTTGGGATTTCCAGGTTTACCTGCCCAGAGGAATACTCTTGCTGTTGCTGGGTGGACTGGTGGTTTTCACAAAGCTTTTCCCTGATTTGAGTCTACTGGGAGGAGGTTGATAGCCATGCAGTGGATTGCTTTCACAGTGTTCAACCTTATTTCTCTCACAGTTCGTGGCAACTTTCCATCGCATATTGTGGGGAAGGGGGAAATGCCAGCTAGCTTGTAGATTATCAACAGGTGTAGATTTGAGACATCCTGTGATTATTCTGCGTGTTTTGTTCAGTGCTATAGTTACCTGCTTTGCATGGACAGACTTGTACCAAACAGCACAGGCATACTTAGCAGTTGAGTAAGACAAGGCCAGGGGTGACACAGTGAAGCTTTACAATGAAGTTGTGTGTCATTCGATCAATGTAATCTTCAGAACTTTTACAGCATGTGATTGTGATATATATTACCTAAAGTTCCAGAATTTACAATCCCATGAGTTATAGAATGACTGGAGTAAAATAAAAGTGCATGTGTGGGATTTTTTTTTTAATTACCAGTTAACTATGTGGCAGCCCAGGACTCGTTTTTTTTTTTTAATCTCTTATATTCTTTACTTTTCCCCATAGGGGTTCTGGAGGAAGCTGAATTCTATAACATTGGATCACTAATCAGACTGATAAAGGATAGACTAGAGGAGAAGGACTATACAATAACGCAGGTATTGTGGCAATATGGTTGCAGAAGGCCTAAATGTGAAAGAACTTTGTGTTTGAGATGGACATCCAGAGCCATTCCAACTCCCCTGAAGTTACAAGACTAATGAATATGGTAGTTAAACAGTAATTGTGGAAAAAGTGAAGGAAATTGGCCAGGTTTTCATCCATAGAGAGTGATGTATAGTAATCCCAATGATTTCAACCTGAGTACTTGTTATTCCATTTTTTTAACAGTGAAGTATAAAAGCACAAAATCCTTACTGTTTAGAGTTGAAATTGGGTGGTGGTAATAGTCATTGTCACCAGATCTCCAGCCTTCTTCAGATAAACTCTGGCAGTTAACAATCTATATTGAAACACAATTGAGAGAACAGGATTGCATCAACCATAAGGTGGATTGGGGCAGTTGCCTCAGTTAGGTGTGCAAAGGAGTGGCAAGGTAGCAGAGATCAAAGCTCTGAGTGCCATGCAGCCCTTCCAAGACTCCTTAAATTAGGTAGCCTACATCAGTACTGATGTAGATGGTTCTTTGCTTCAAGCAAAAGTGTTCACTCTTAACGTGTCAGTTTTTCCCCCCTGTTGCTTCAGGTGCCTCCAAAGCATGTATACAGAGTGCTACAGTGTCAGGAAGAGGAACTCACTCAAATGGTATCCACAATGTCTGATGGATGGCGATTTGAACAGGTAGGCATGAAGTGAGCTATGAGGATGTGGATATAATTTTTCCAATGGCTTCCATGACAATAGGACAGGTATCCTCATATATCCTTCAGTGTTCAGACTAAAATCCAGAGCAGATTACCTGCCATGTCTCATTGTGGAAGTAACCAACTTAAAACACTTTTAAGAACTGCATTTGGGTGCAACTGTACTAATAGAATTATAGAACTGGACTAGAAGACAAAGTTGTGAGTTAAAAGCAAAGCTTGGAAAAGTGTGGGGAGTAACAATTTCCAATGGCCATGCTGGCTTATGAATTCTGTGACTTGTAGTCTACACATCATGTTACAAGGTAGCTGTCAGAAACTATAGTCTTCAGAAGGTTGATGATGGGAAAAAGAAGGGGCAGCATAATTTAACTAAAATTTGTTTGGGGGACTTCTGGATTTCATTAAGCATCTTCTATACCCATAACTTGTGCAATAAAGAGAACAAATGAACAGTTTCTCTTAACCTTCCTTTTCTAATGTGTAGTTCCCTTCATCCTACACCCAATATGTTGTGTCCTGCAATTCTCTTCATCCAAAGCCCAAAGGACCTCTGGTTTGTTTCATGTTGGGATGCTAAGTTGAGAAAAGCTAGGTAAGAGACTCAGAATGATTAAGTGCATTGAAGTATCTGTAACTGTTATTTCTAGACCACAAGAGTTACTCCCTAATAACAGCAATGTGAGCCAACTACATCCAGTGGCCAGTGGATTGCTGAGATCCAGGACCTATAGTCAGTCCAAAGACATACAGTAGTGTACCACTTATCTGCCATAAACAGGCCAGCAAAATGTTGGATAAATGAAAATGTCAGATAATATGGAGTCTCCTACTGTTACCTATCGGATGCACCACTAGACACCTAGAATAATAACAACAGGGACTTGGTGGGAAATTATAAAATACACAATAGTTGCTGCCCAAGCAACAGTGACTTTGGGATGGAAAGACCATAGAAAGTGGGAAGTTAAAAAATGGTAGTGTTACCTAGCAAACTTCATGCTCGGGGAATACATGTTTGAAAGAAGAGCCAAATATAAATCATGCCGAATCAAGAAGAATTGGGTTCAGAAATGGGGAAGATTGATAGATAAAGTCGAAGGAAACGAAATATATAAAAAGCTGAATTATTCTCTTTCTACGATTGTTCAATTAAAATAATATCTGAATGAAGTCAATTACTGTTCCCAGAGGGTGGGGGAGGGGAGGGGGAGGGGGAGAGGTGTAACATTGATAGACACAAGTGGGAGAAAAAGGTGGAATAGGCAAGGATAAGAACACTAAGAAAATAATATTTAATATGTATTCTGAAATGGTGATGGATTGTTATATTATTCCACCTGTGTCGGCAATAAAAACATATATTAAAAAAGTAATAGTAGCAGAGACTCAAAGGGTTAAGGCAAGGCAATGCCTCAGGGTTAGAGTAGTCCAGCAGGAAGTGTCCAGATGCAGAAGACAGCATGGAAATCACAGAGGGAAGGAGGGAGGATGCTTCTGCTTCCTGTCCTGTATTTTCCCCCATCATTCCCTCCTCCTCCTCTTCCTTGACTTGCCTTTTTCACTTATTGGGAATGGAGAGAGAGTTGGGGAGCACTCCTTTAATTGAAGGGGAAATGCTGGAGGAAAAGGGGGCCATTGAATAAGATGGATTGCCGGATAAGCAAAGGTCGGATAAACGAGACTCTACTGTATGTAAAAATACATGGTCAGGCGCACGCATATGTCTTTCTAAAATATGCAGTGAGCCACATACATAGGACAAAAAACAATATAAATCACCATCATTTCCAGATTGGAGTGAGGAACCTTGGTTCTCCAAAGGTTTTGGATTTTAGTTTTCAAGATCACTTGTCAGTAACCCTATTGGCCATGGCTGATGAGAACTAAAATCCAAAACATGTGGAGGATCAAACATTCTGAAACCCTTTTCTACATTTATCTAACAGTACTAATTCAGCAAGTCCTGGTGACTTATGGCTAAAACTATACTTCCTTTGTTTGGGGCAAATCCCATCTAAATTGGGATTACTTTTGAGTAGATGTGTATGGGATTGTACTGTAAACTATTTAAAATGAAAGCTTGTGCATGTTTACTGAAATATAAATCCTGCTGCTTTCAGCAGGACTTCCTCTCTAATAGGTACAGATAGGATTTTAGCCATAAAAAGTTAATGAAGCATTCTCTGTATTTGAAGGAGGTGTGCATCTTACGCTGGCATCATTCCCAATGTTTAACCAACTAAATATGCAGCAGAACTGTTTTTGGTACTCAGTTTTTAATGATACTTCACACCTCATCAAATCAATAGGCACAAGGTCCTTTGCAGTATATTATAGCCTTCCTTCTTTATGGTTCATTGTTTGTCTGTTCAAGAGCTATCTTTGATGATACCAGAAATAACTGCCTTACAGATGTTACTTTGAAGAATCTTGAGTGACAGAAAACATGTACTCCTGGATGTTATTGCTCTTCACCTCCCATACCCCCTGCCTAATTGGTTATGCTAAGTAAGCCTAATGGGAGTTGCATTCCAGCAATTTCTGCAGGTGACATGTTTCTCCATCCTGAATTAGATCTAGAAGGAGCAAGGTATGTGCTTCTATTTGAGCTGCCTTGCCGTGCATATCTTTCCTGTCCTCCTGGACAGCAAAAATGGGTGCAGACTATCTAGCAAGCTGTCATTTCTGACCAATGTGTTGTCTTAATAGATATCTACCATGGAAAATAACATAATCCCTAAACTTCTGCTACCAGCTTCCCATGCATTTTGGTCAACTATTCAGGCTTTTTTTCCCCAGTGAGGCATGCACTTTATATATGGAGAAGAATGCAAAATATAGTAGTTTTATAGGTCGTAGAATGACATCTAGCATAAGTGTAGTGGTTTGAATATTGGGCTAAAATGTTGGAGACTAGGATTAAAAACTGCACTTGGCTATGGAAACCTACTGGGTGACCTTGGACCAATCACATTACCTCAGCCTCAGAGGAAGACAAGGGCAGTCGTCTTCTAAAAAATCTTGCCAAGAAACCCCTTTGATGGGTTTGCCTTAAGGTTGCTATAATTCAGAAGTGACTTAAAGGCATACGACAACAATAACAACAAACTAATGCGAGCTGAACATGTAAGTATAGTTGATTTTATATCCCCTAAATCATGAATATTTTTCTTCTTTGCTTCCTAGCTAGTGAATATTGGATCATCCTATAATTACGGGAATGAGGATCAGTCAGAGTTCCTGTGTGTAGTCTCTAAGGAACTCTGTAGTTCACCCAGTGGCCTGTGCTCTGAGCCCAGCCGGAAAGTCAAGGTAACAGCAATCATCATCTTCTCAAATGTTATGCGACCTATTTTCTCTGGTGCCTTCTTTTCAGATGTCAAGTGGTATCTTTGTTAAGAAACACTACTTTCTTTGTGGTCCTGAGATCCACAGATCTTGGCAAAGTTATAATTCTGGACTAAAATTCCCATGCCCACCCTCTCCTCCAGTCATGCAGTAATCAAGATCTACAGGTATCCTTCCATGTGAAATGAGAGGCATAACAAGTAGCTTCAAAATCTGTGCTAGGAACTGAAACAGCTTAATATTGACTGCTCAATTGGTTGTTGGAGTCAGAATCCCACTGTGAAGATATCTGAGAACCTTTGGCTGCCAAAATGCAGGGTTCAGTTGTAAAGCATGAAAAATGCATATACTTTTCTTGTGCTTATGAACAGATTGGCATCAATCCTTTAAAAGCTATTGACTACTATAAGATAAACTCATAGACGTCCCAGATTAAAAACCTGGTTTAGAACTACTCTGGATTTTTTTTCATGTCAGGAGTGACTTGAGAAACTATACGTCACTTCTGGTGTGAGATAATTGGTCGACTGCAAGGACATTGCCCAGGGAACATCGGGATGTTTGATGTTTTACCATCCTTGTGGGAGGCTTCTCTCATGTCCCCGCATGGGGAGCTGGAGCTGACAGAGAGAGCTCAACTCACTCTCCCTGGATTTGAACTGCTAACCTGTTGGTCAGCAGACCTGCCGGCACAAGGGTTTAACCCATTGCGCCACCAGGGGCTCCACTACTCTGGATGCATATGTGTGTTTGAACTATGGAATTAGTGTGGTGCTTAAGGTGAGCTTTCTAGGAATCTCTAAGTCTTCTAGTACAATTCTCTGGTCAGTGTCCTGCAGAAGTTGAATATAGAGTTGCACTAGTGGACCTAGAATTTACTAGAAAGAACATATTAATCAAATCCATGAACAATCAAATCTGCAAAAGCTGAAATTGTAAGTGCAGAGGGCTGTCTATATTTATTTCAGCCTTTTAGCTGTCAAGTTACATGAACCCATTAAACAGAGTGGTTGTAGGGCTGTATGGCCATGTTCTAGAAGCATTCTCTCCTGATATTTCACCTGCATCTATGGCAGGCATCCTAGAAAATGGTCATACAGCCTGAAAACCCTACAACAACCCAGTGATTCCAGCCATGAAAGACTTCAACAATTTACTAAACAGAATTGGGAAGATTTGCAAAGCTCAAATTTAATTCTTTGATAAGCTTTTATGGATGAGACAAAACAGTTGAAGTGGATCTCATAAGTTATACCTCATTTTCCTTCCTTTTGCATGGCACGCTGGGATGCAGAGCACAGAAGATGATCTGGAGCAGGAAGAGCAGAACGACCAGGAGCAGCAGCTGCAGGGAGCAGAGCAGGAGGAGGCAGAGGAGTCGGCTGAAGCAGAGGAGGGAAAAGGTGCAGCAAACCTCTAAGGGGAACACTGACAAAAATAAACCCATATCTAAAGCCATCTAGGGCATCTCCCTTCTGGAGGAAAGCTGCTAGTGATGGAGAAGAGAGAATGGACACCAGATAGAACACCAGTGGAAGAGGAAAGCAACACTTGGTGGCTAAAGGATCATAGGAAGCTGGGGAAGGAACAGGGAGGGTGTTTTTTTTCCCTTTTGAACAATTGCAGAATGTAGGTGTAAATCAATTTTTAAAATGTTGAATATTACAACAAGTTCATCTACCCAGGGTTTAGCCATTGCCTCCCTAACTCCTCCTTCCCTTTGGATCCATTCACATCACTTCTGTTATTTCCATTCTGCATATTTCCTTATCTTGGTGATATTTATTTCCTTGCATGTCACTGTTCTGTGACTTTCATCTTCTCTTGACCTCCTGCAACTTGTCTTCAATCCATCTGGATTCCTTCTCTCTTCCTCCTCCCCCTCCTCCCAGTATTCCTCTACAAGCACAGCATTCATCTGCAGTGCCTGACCTGTTTAAGTGACACCCAACATCTGATTCTGGGGCTCTATTGGTGGCTCGTAGCAGAGCTTGACGGGGATACATTGTTTAGACTACAGCTCTCAGAGCCCTTCAACCGGCACGGTCCCTGGCCATTTTTGCTGGGGAAGTTTGGGAGATGTAGCCAAAAGGTCATTATCTCAAGCCCTGGATTATAGAATGTGTTTGAGGTCCATGCATGTTATGAATTTCTCTTGCATAGTAGTTCTTATATTTCTGGGGTAGAAAACTCTGGAGCAGAGAATTTTGAAAGTAGATGTATAGAGGTCAGGCTGTAAAAGTATATAGACAGGAGACATGTACCTGCCTTTTTCTACCATATAGTAGGGATTCTGCATCCTTTCATTGATACTGGACTACAATTCCCCAGCATTTGTCCTCAGTGACTAAGCTGGCAAGGGCGGATGGGAGTTTCAGCTGAAGAGATACAGTTTCTATCCCTTTTCTAGTGAGTCAGGTCCTTGATCTCTTTGACTGTGCACTAGCTTGATAGGCAACAGCAGCAGCAGTCCCACCCCATTTCCGTTTCTTGATTCTTATCTGTTGGGAGAAGTTGGCAATTGAACCTAGGATGTTCTGCATGCAGAGCATGTGCTCTTGGGCTCAGCTGTTATAGCCCTTCCTCAAATCTAGCAGATAGTTTCTGATATGGTCTAAAAGAAAAATGAATGTTCTGTAGTGGAAACCTCCATAGATTTCTGCTTGCAACGTGTTGTACAGGTTTGCATTTAGCTTAACAAGTCTGCGGTTTAGAATGGTTGCTCAGGGCACACAAGATGGACTGGGAAAATGGCACAGTAAGAGGATGGATATCAGGAGTCACTGCAAGGGATAAGAGATGGAACAGAGCATAGTACAGTGGACCCTCTACATCCACGGATTCTGTGTCCATGGATGAAACTATTCACAACTTGAAAATATTTTTTAAAATCCAAAAAGCAAAACTTGATTTTGTCATTTGATGTAAGGGGCACCATTTTACTACACGCTTGTATATCATGGGATTTGAGCATCCATGTATTTTGGTATCTACAAGGATCCTGGGACAAACCCCAGTATTTCTGAACTGAGTCCCTCCTCCCATCTCACCTTGGTATGTCATCTTCAGCAGGCATTGCTTATCACCATCAATACTTCTCCCTCCCCTGCCTTGAGGATTAGAAACTTAAAGCTGGAGTACTCAAGATGCCTGTTCTTTTTCCAGAGTTCAGTGCTTGGCTGAAACCCAATCTGGAGTTAGGTGTTCTTAAAACTATTGATCAAAACAGAAAGTGAAGTGGTTGCTGTCAGTTTCTCCAAATGAAATTTCGTCCTGGAAAGGGCTGGGGAAAATGAGGCACAGTTCCTGTATCTTGTAAGAAAATGCCAATATCTGCCTTGATTTCTATATAATAACAACATTATATCATGGGAACAGACACTATCATTCCACATCAGACTTTGGAAATACTACTTTTTTAATCTGTGATTCCCAGAATCTACAGGTTGTGCAGTCTGGGGAATCTGGGAGTGGTGGTCCAAAAAGTTGCTTTTCTAAGAGTTTCTTGTCCTTAGAAGCAGATTGGCCTCAAGAACTAGAACTCAGGAAATAAAAGGGCTTTGTTTTCTGTTACAAAGTGTTTTGAGACACTGTTAAGGCTGTATTTGAAACACTGTGTTAGTTTCTGCAGCAAAAGATTGGAGAATTAGATCTAAGACAAGGCAGTGGGGATTTTGGCTCTCCTTATACATTGAAGTCCAAGTCCAAGAATGCCTTGCTATTAGCAGTTGGGGATTCTGTTTGCTGACATACCAAACAAGGAGAATCAGAGTTTCCCCACTTCTTTTCTAGGGTGAGCTAAGCAACTTGTTTCCATCCAGAGGATGTTGGATTCCAAGTCCTATTAACCCTAGTTAGCTGATGGGAGTTGTGGCTCTTCCGATGTTGATGGATTACATATTTTCCAGCCCTCTTTTATTCAGACTAGTTTTGGGCTAAATATTACATAGCTCTGTAGACTACCAGTGCTTTGTACCTGCATGATTTTTCCTTTCATTCTGGCTGTTCTCCCATCTACCACATATGCATTCTCCTAATTTGTGCATTCTTTATTTGGTGTCCATCCCTTTCATTCAGTCCTGCTACTTTTAAGCTGTCACAAACCAGATGTCTCAGGATATTATGCTGATAATGATCAATGTCTTTTTTTTAATGTTAACTTTTAAATCTTTATTTTTGTACTGTACTTTGTAAGAATAAAACACAACCTGGGTGGACAGTTGAGATTTGGGTTGTAGTATGTTTCATTTTTTACACAGTACCCTCTGCTTAAGGAATCATGTAGCCCACTTAGATGACTCCCAGCAACCTTCACAATTTGATGTGTTCTCTCAGCGTGCTAGAATTTGTAATTCAACAATATCTGTAGGTCTGTACAATTCTCTAGCTTGTTCAAGGTATTGCATTTATATCTTTGATGGTATTTTGCATTAGGCTCTGCAATATTTCACCGTCACTCTTATAAAGAAATGTGGGCCTTAGTGACCAAAAGTTGGATAACAGAGGCTCCATCTATACTGACCATTAGGGTTGTGCGATCCATTAAAAATGGTTCAAAAGTCATTACAAAACTGGGAGGCGCTGGCCTTTTCTTGTGTTTCTAAAAATATAGTTAGTGAAAAATTTGTTACTATAACGAGAGTAACAAAATTTCATTACTATTTTGTTAAAGTAATTGCGCTTCAGGGGCTCCTCTCTCCCTCATTTTCAGAGATATTGGGGTGAAACTTGGTACAATGATAGAACACATTTCCCTTTTTTGGCCTACAATTTCAGGACATTTCACTTATCTATGGATTTTTGGGGAATTTTTAAAATTTGTATAAACAATATTTTAAAATAATAAACAAAATACGTTCCTAGTTTAAAGTGTTATTTCCTGTTTAGTTGTGTAATCCTTACTTTGAATGTAGTGTTCTATCCAGGAACTTTGTTTTTGTGCCAAAAACTGTGTTAAATGGGTAGATGAGGTTGTTAAATTGGTGGACTTGAGGCTCTACAAGATACTTTAGAAAACGTGCTATAACACGATGTCTCTTGCACAAAGACAAAGTTTTTGCAGTTTAATAAACTTTCTCTGTGTTTTTTTGATAGAACCAATTAGGAAATGACATTTAGAACCCAGGAACAAAAACCATAATGTAGAAACATCAAAGCACACTTGACAGATGGCTATCCAGCCTCTGAACAACAACAACAACAACAATAATAACAACAACAATAAAGAAAACGTGTTCCTAGTTTGAAAGTACTATTCCCTGTTTAATTGTGTAGTCCTTTCTTTGGAAGTAGTAGTTCTACTCCAGAAACTTTATTTTTTACGCCAAAAACTTTATTAAATAGATGGATGATGTTGTTAAACTGTGGACTGGATACTACAGCAAAATGTGGGATAACACAATGTTCCTCACACAAAGACAACGTTTTTACAGTTTGGGTGCATTATCTCTTTACAGTATCAGTCAAGGTGCTGAATCTCAGTTAGTTCATTTATCATTCACACTAAAACTAGAATGAATTCATCATCCCACTGACATGGAGATCATCCAGCTGTAACTATCTTTATGCTATCTATAGAACTACCTAATTTTGATAACCTGGAATTCATTTTAGTTTCACACCCTTCAAATTGCTTTAAACTTGCAATGTAGATCCCTCTTGTGATGGACTTACTTTACAATTATCATATGCATCATGTAGTACAGTTGAATCAGAATGAGGCATTTCTTCACCCGATTTTCACACTGTCAATTACTTAGCCATTTTAGTCACACTTACACGAAAGCATGCTTTGTTGAACACATGGAGAGTTGCATCAGATGAAATGTACACAGGATGACATCGATATTCATAGAAAGGGAAGCTGACATTATGAGGCATGGATAGTATGCTTTATATAAAGCACTGTTCAGAGTATGATGATGTTAGTACTTTGGTATGATTTAAAGGGGGGAGTCCATGAGGGTGGATATTTTAGACCAATTGTTTGGAGTGGATACAAGATTCTAATACAGATGTTTTGATCCTGATGACATGTGGAAAGATGAATTTAGTATTCTAAAATGGTTTATGCACAGACTTAAAGTTGTGGCAACTTCTAATGTACATTATTATTTTCCTGATTCTATGGGATTGGAAAGTCATAACTTCATCACACTAGAGCAGTGGTTCTGAACCTGTGGGTCCCCAGGTGTTTTGGCCTACAACTCCCAGAAATCCCAGCCAGCTTACCAGCTGTTAGGATTTCTGGGAGTTGAAGGCCAAAACACCTGGGAATCCACAAGTTGAGAACCACTGCACTAGAGAATGAATCCATTTTAAATCAGGTTTCTGCCTCCTGCAGAATTCTGGGGTTAGTAGTTTAATAAGGCTGTTAAAAGCTCCTTCCTAAACTACAAACCCCAGAATTCTGCAGGAGGCAGAAACCAGATTTTAAGTGCATTTTTTCTCTAGTGTGATGAGGTAGTTGATAGCTAAGCACTCCGCATTAACACCATACTATGTATGTTCATTCAACAAGCAAGTTTTCCTAAGCTAGAAATGGGTTCTACAACTCGTAGACTTCTTTATAAAGATGTAACCCCCTCTCATGCGCATAATTATAAACTGAGATACAACAGACATGTAGTATGGAAACACAGGGCAGAACTGGTGTGGATGCAAGGCAATAGGCTTCCCCTATAAACAAGTAGAAACACTGTGGATATCCTTTCTAAACAACGGTAATTGTGCGCTGTTTTCAGGCAATGGAAAGCTCCATTACATAGGACATTTTTTTTATTTCTGCTCATGGAGAATTGGGTAATGTATGTCATAGCTGTCGTGAAACTCAGCTGTGCTCCAGCACACTCCAACTTACATCATTTCCATCTTCAGCATGTTTGATAATCCTGAAAACCTTAGAAATTATTTTTAAAAATTTGTGAGGGAGTCTGGAAGGGAATCCAGTTGCAGCTCATACCTTCTCTGTCTTACCTCCAAGACCTTTGGACATTTAGAGACAGGGAATTATACATTACATTTGTTTTTCACTGTTAAATCCACATTCAATTCGGGCTTGAATATCAGGAAGGATTTGAGTATAGGACTTTCTTAAAGCTTCAAAACACTGGAAAAGTAGCGTGTTTAATGGAGGCAGTTCATCTGCTTAGGCTGTGACATCTCACGAGGAAAGGAAGTGGTTAGGTATTGTTCAGCTCAACATTGCTTGCTTCATCCATCCCATCACACTGGTGATCCTGGTGTAGACTCCATAGTGGTTGGGACGTCCACATCCAATTCCCCAGCTTACCACACCAGCTAGAAACCACTTGCCACTAACCTCCTGGCAAGCAAGAGGTCCTCCAGAGTCACCCTAGTAAAACAAAACAAGAACTATCAGTTCAATATTTTAAAGACCCCAGATTCCATCTCATCTTGAAAGACAAGCTGGGTCAGCCATGGTTAGAACTTTGATGGGAGACCACTAAAGGATGCCATAGACTATATTTCAGGGGGAGGAAATGGCAAATCACCTCTGAGTATTCCGTGCCTTTAAAACTTTATTGAATCAATGGGTTGCCATAAGTCAAAGGCAGCTACACACATGGAGGGAAGAAAACCCTTGTTTTTCTGTACGAGGAGGTAGTAGCAGATGGAAGCAATGTGTTTTGCTACTCACACTCAGCAAAGACTTGCATGTAAATAAGCTTAGAGCCGAGCCAGAATTGCTCAGAAAACATGTTTTTTGAGGAAATGCATGTGAGATTTCTCTGTTTGTCATTCCTGTAGAAAACAAAACCATTTGGCAGAGTTTTCTCAGATTATTTTCCACAATAGTTCCTCCCTGTAAGCAAATGCTACTTCCTCCCCAGCCCTGTCTCAAAAAGACTTGATTGTGGAAGATGAAAAATTGTGACCAAACTGAATATAGTTGAAACCAGTGCTGAAATTTGTGGGGATTTGTAAAAAGGCACCATCATGTAATGAGTTGACTGGAAAGATATGTGTTGGCAGTTGATTGGCTGAGCATGCCAGGAGCCAGAATTCTGATTGGCTACTGTCTCTAGCTTGCTGCTGAGAGAAATGGTTTTAACCGCCATTTTTTCACCTTAGAGAGTGAAGAGAGTGCTGACTGGAAACAGCAAGAAAAGAAATGTCTGCCAACTCTCTGAAGACTGATCATTTCTAGGGCATGAAGCATATTTTAAAGACTGTTTAAAAGGACTGTTTATTCCCTCTGTTCTCCAAGAATTCAGAGAGACTACTGTATATATTGTTGCTCTATTTGACCTTTTGAACTCAAGTAAAGTTACTGTTACTCGTTACACAAATCTGAGTGACACATTATTATACTGCAGGATATATGTTGGTTCAGAAACAGTGGTAAAGCTTCTGTTTATTTACATTTACAACCGCCAACAAAATTTACCTGACAAGAGTCCTTATTTCCATCCTGGTAGCCAGCGCAAAGCATTCTTGGTGTGACCTGGTAGTGATAGGCCTCATTGCAGATGTCCTGCTGCACTAGCTGAACATCTGCTTTTTGCAAGATCTTGCTAGTGTGACCTGTGCAGGGATGAATTAGCAAGATTACCAAGACAGAGCACATATTTTTCTATTCATATCAATGAATTCATGACAAACTCCCTTTTTTTTCTAGATACTTGGCTTTTTAATGCTTGGGTTCCAGGTCTGGTCAGTGTCCTAACCAACTGGTATTCAGATCTTTGTTCTGGGTATATGATCATCTTTGTATATTTAGTGGAAAAGATCAACAAAGCATATAGATGGAGAATCTACAGGTAAACATTTAGGTGAGGTGTAATTGTTTGGAAATGATTTCTTACCACCAACAAGAGGAAAAAAAACGAATAAATAAATAAAACCCCACCATTATATTGTATTACATTATAATATTATCAATATTATATGTATATAAAATATATTATATTATTACCATAGGACAATATTAGTATTATATATTAGTATATCGTTGATGGGGGGAGGGGCTCCCAACTGGTGGCACAGGAGACATGGTGGAATTGTGTCTTCCTGGCTTTCCCCTCTTCACTCCAAAAATGTACAAAAATGAACAAAACACTTGTAATCTCTCTCATACAGATGATTTTTTCAGTCTTACATGAGAGTACAAAATAAGCAAAGATGTGCATCTCTACACCTCCATCTATGGAGGCTATCACCAGAATCTGGGACCATAGAAACTTAGATGCTAGATTATGTAGAGAACCTCCATGGATGAAAGGTACTCTCCTTTCCACAGAATTCATCTTGATAGAAGAACAGTAACTGCAAAGGGATAACTTTTGATATGCATGGCATTCATAAAGGATCTCATATCCTCTCCTTCGAATAAAGGGTTTCCCCATGGAAAAGTGAAAACTTCCCCACATTTCTGATGCAACCCTGAAGCAATACCTTCAGGGGGCTGAATTTTTCATTAACTTCATACTTTACAGAGACTCCAATCTATTTCTAGCTAACATACAATGGCCCAAGAAGAGTTTTGGACGCCCCATTGTTTTATGCTAAAATGACTTTCTCCAAACAAAATCCAACTGGTGAAATAAAGAAAACCCAGAATGATCACAAGTGAACTTTTGTGTAGAGGCTTGCTTCATTTCTGGTGTGTATAATAAATTTCTGGGCTCATTCAGTTCTAGAGATACCCTAGTTGTGAAATTCTCAGTGTATGTTGGTTTTATCTGATCCTGAATTGCAGATTTTAGGGATCTGGTGAAAAACAAGCAGGGGCCAAACAAGCAGGGGTATAACTATGGGGGAGGACAAAATGAGACCTTGCCCCAAACAAGAATTCTGCACCTCAACAAAATTTTCATTCCATCCCCAAATGTTTAACATTGCGGTAACTTAAAAGCTTCAGCTCATCATTTAGAAATACACTTTTGGCATCAAAAGAAAAGGCAACATCATAATAGAATGCATTTACAATTCTAGACATGGATTATTTTCAAAATCTCACCCTCTTCATTCTAAGAATTTGAGAGGAGAAGGAAGATTTCAGAGGGGGAAGGGGCAAATTCTTATTTTGGCAGGCATTTGCCTTCATTTTGCACTCCCATAGCTAAAACCCTGTAAACAAGCCTGATGTCTGCCTGTTTTAAAGTATGATCAATACATAATTCCTTCTGTATGATGTTATGTAAAGGATCCACTAAGGGGCGCTTGAGAGAACCTTGTTGCAAACCATGTTATATGACGACACTCAATTTGAGCTTGTTATACCACACTGATCGTTCTCATTAGATATTGCCTAATAAAAATTGAAAACTTGAATGAGATGTCTGGCCAGGTTGGCTATCTTGAATAAATAAGCATTACCTGCACTCTTCTCTGCAAAGCTGAGGTTGCCTCATGGTTGTAAAAACATCCACAACCACAAAGCAATAGATTCTTCTTAAGTGATCCCTTAACAACAAACAATAAATGCTCACTGCTGCAAATACCTCCTTCCTTGACTGCCCCCCAGCCACTGATCCAGCACAGGAGGCCAGGTTCAAACAGATGGGAACCAGCAGGCAGACAAATAGGTCGGATGAAGGCAGAATAAATGACAGGGTGGTCAAGCTGCAGCAGTGCCACATCATAGTCATGGCTATCTTCTTCATAGTAGGGGTGCTGCAAAATACGGCTCACTTTGAAGGAGACCTCATTGGGACTGCTGACATTCAGAAATTGCTTGCCAAGATAGATGGTCCAAACCGTAGGAGAAGCCTGGCTGGAAGACAAAAGGGGGTTGAAAGAGTCTCCTCCGGTGGCAGATGCTGGAAGAAATATGTTGGCGGAGGCAGCTGTGTGCCAACTGCCCTTGTATCCAAGCTGGCATATTGCCTTTAAATGCTAAGAAAGAGGACAGTCATTGTCTGTGTTGAGCAAATATTCAACTGCCACCCTATTTGCCTTCTGAACTTGGAGTGGATAAGACTGCCATTTTGGTCTTAGAAACAGAGAGACTAGTGTTTACAGCTTAATCTGGCTCTCGCAATTTAGCAAAAATTTGATTCAGAAAAGCTTCCTTATACTAGTTCAGTGGTTCTCAACCTGTGGGTCCCCAGATGTTTTGGCCTTCAACTCCTAGAAATCCTAACAGCTGGTAAACTGGCCGGGATTTCTGGGAATTGTAGACCAAAACACCTGGGGATCCACAGGTTGAGAACCACCATATTAGTTCAAACTGCTTGTAATTTAACTCATTCCTATGCATTATAATTCAGAGATTGGAAAAGTTGCTTTTTTTGAGTTGCAGCTTCCAGAATAGGATACTGATCAGATAGGGAGGCGGGTGGTAATGGTTCTTTGGCGTTTCATGGAAAGAGATATCATTTTCATCAGTTGATTCCTGATCATTTTGACATCAAATGCCACAGACTAGTGAAACAGAGACCTTCAATTGTTCAGCTCAACTCCTTCCCCTGTAATGGTAAACCTCTGTCTGTGGGATACAGCTATTATAATAGCTTTTTTTTTTTTGGGAAGCTTCCACTTTCAGTTAGTGGGATTATCCTTGTGAACCTTGGAATTGTCATCACTGGAACCCCATTTAACTGCACAAAATGAGCCCAATGTAGAGGATAAATTGGTTTAATTTGCATTTTGATCCTAAACCAATATGAAAATTGAAACATATTTAACCTGCAGTATTTCAACTTCTCTCATTTTTAAGAAAAATTTAAATTCTGAAGAATACAAATTACCTATACTGTATTGGTGAAGCACGTACACACAAAAATGAGCATGTTAATAAGGACAACATACAAATGCATCTCCTTGGGGGAAAATCCTGAAAAATGCAAATAGTTGTGCATAAAGGTGCATATTATGAAAAATACACATAAAATATGTTCAAAGTTTCATGTAAACCTTTATAAAATGGGCAGGCTGATGCATAAATGTAATGAAACTACCTTAAGAGTAATGAGAAATGGAAAACATTAGAGAGTGAGATATTACGCAACTCAATAAATTTCTGTGTAAAGTGTAGCCCCTGAGGAAGACTAAATCTGTTAGTGGCCAAAATGCTTTGGACTTTTTTAGAACAAATTAAGCAAGTGACCATCTATCAGCCTATGGAGCTTTGTCTCCTGATTTGCTTTGACTTCTCATATGCACTTATCAATCTAAGTTGGATTTATGCCTGTTTATATCACGAACAGGATGCCAACCTATAGATGAAGGTAAGCTTTTTGTACCATTTTATTTATATTGAGAATATATACATTACACAATTGCAGCACTTTGATTTAATTATAATAGCTATGGAATCCTGGGTTTTGTAGTTTCACGAAGTACTTAGAACTATATGCCATTATGTCCCCATGTTGTAGTTTACAGAAGAGCAATAAGTACTTTCACAGATTACATTTTCCAAAATTCCATAGAAAGAAATGGTATCAAACTAATATAATTGTGCTGTATGAGCAAGTATATTCAGGAATCACATTTGCCAATATACTACCTATTCTGTTAGACTTCTTTGCAAATATCTTTGCCTTTTCTCCACCCTAAATAATTCAATGAATCAGCAAACAAATGGGCACCTAACTAGTACATAACCCTAATTCCACATTGAAATTAGACTGGACAGAATTGTACTTCCCTAAAATGGAACAAACAGCTCACTCAATTCAGTTGTAGGATGTAGCTAGATATAGACTTAGCCATTTTTTTTCACTTGTAATGTGCTCTCAACTCCATCTACCATTACCTCAATTTACCTGTCTTCCTGGAAGCAGTGAGCGGCAGCAATCACCCAGCGATCTGCAATCAGAGTTCCACCACAAACATGATGCCCACGAACCTGCAGACTAGCTTGCCATGGCCATTCCCCTTCCGCAGAATGAGTACCACCCACAATCCGGTTTGTTGGGACCTCCTGTTCTCCACACTCTGAAAGAAAGAAGCAGCATCTCCAGAATGCAGAACAACTGTTCAATGCATCCTTTCCCAACATCATATAGAGGGGTGGACTACAAATCTCATCATCCTCCAGATCCCATGATGTGGCATCTGGAGATCTTCAGTTTGAGGAAGGCTGTTGTAGCGGGAAGGCATGGTTTTATTGATATTGTTGCTCAACAGCCTTCTTGAGACTTTTGTGCTGAATTTGTATAATATTTTTAAAAGATATGGCTAAAGAAAAATATAGTTTAGGTTTTCCTATATGACTGTATTGGATGCTTTACTAGCTGGGGATGATGGGAACTATAAAAGTATAGATCTAAAATCTAAATCTAAAATCTAAGCCCCAAACTCTCCTATATTAAGGCACCCCCTAATTCTTTATCTGCTCCTTTGTCATGTGTAGTTTCCTCTGACGAGACTAAGAGAATGTTTTGTTTTGTTTTTGCTTTAGCTACCTGCACCAACAGGACTTTTATATTAGAAATTAAAGCAGGCTCTTCAGCATAATGTGAAGCAAACATTTTGAATCTTATCCAGGCTGGACATTTAATTACAGTACATCTGCTGCATCCCTTAAGACCTGTTTGACAGACATCCATCATTACTACCACCTGAGAATCTAATAGCACAATCATATATTTCTAAATTTAGGAGCAAACACTATTACATTCAGTGAGATGGGACTTATATCCAGATAAACACACACAGCAGGAACAACAAAGAATCTTATGGCACACTGAAGACTAAACCATCTGCCTGGAATAAACTTTCATGAACAGCTTACACCAAGTAAAACTTACTTGATTTTATTAAAGTGCCTTTGGACTAAATTCAGTTATTAATCTCAGTTACAACAGTTCCATTGGATCAATGGGAATCTGACAAGTCAACACTGATGTAACTGCTATCCATTCAGGGGAACTACTGTAAATGGGTCTAACAAAGAATTTTAGGCATTTATTTTCCCAACGACAAAACAAAACAACAAATATCTTACAACTGTAAACTAATGGTGGGGAACTTTTGGCCTTCCGTATAGCTTGGGCTGCAACTCTCACAATCCTTTTCCATTGAGCATGCATGCTATGATATCTGGAAGCTGAAGCCCGAAACACTAAACAGCACAAAATTTTCTCATCTCTGGAGTGCCTAAGAATGCAATCTCATAATTACACTGTTTCTTCATCTATTTGTTTGAAACCAATACATGAAGAAAGGGATACCTAGTCTACTTTTCCCCTTGTTTCTGACCTTCTTTGCATGGACTGCCCATGCAAACAGGAACTCCTCCTTTGATTTATTGCTTTTCACATCACGGAAAGTGAAGACGTGAATCTAGGTGCTCCCTTCTTGGCATGTTGATTCAAATCAGAGACCTAACCCCTGAATATAGCTGTTATCAGCCCATGACAGAAAGACATAATCTCCACCAATTACTAATTTAAAGCAGGGCTGATAATATAAATAAGCAATAAGGCATTGCAGCAGTGGTAGTCTCCTCAATGGTCTACCACCTGACCCAACACACACACTCCTTTTAAGGTGAAGGTGAAGTAATGGATTTAAAATTTGAATTTCTCATTTAATTTTTTCTGTACATAGATTGGAGGGAATGCCATCCTGTCATTTACCTCAATCAGCAAATTATCCTGAGCTGGATTTATTTATTTATTTATTTATTTATTTATTTATTTATTTATTTATTTATGGCATTTATATGCCGCCCTTCTCACCTCTTAGAAGACTCAGAGTGGCTTACAAGATATACATACATACAATATATTATATTATTAACATAGTACAATATCAGTATTATATATTACTATATAGTACTATACCATTATATTGTAATATTAGTAATATTACATGTAAAATAAAATATATAGTTATAATATTGTATTATTATTATTATATTGTATTACATGATAATATTATAAACATTATGTGTATATTATATTATATTATATTATTAGCATAGCACAGGAGACAGGTGTAATTGTCTTCCTGGCCTCCTCTTCACTTTGGCCCAGAGCAGCAGTTGGTGCTGGGGAGAGGGGCTCCCAACTACAAGAAGAATGAGCTTCTCCAGTTCCCTTGTTATTAAACTAGAAAAGACCTTTACTCATTAACATCTCACCACAGTGCATTTCATCAGATCGATCCTTGCAGTCAGGAACGGAGTCACATTGAGGATTGGGTTTCTTCACACAGCTCCCATCAGCACACTGGTAAGTGAAGAGTCCGCAGGGAACCCCTGGAATGACATATTGTGAGGGTGGATGGGAATGAGATGTTCCTTCCTACTGTTGCTACTATCAGCCACTGTTCAAATGGTCTACTAACATCCACTAGGGAGTGATCCATCATGACAGAAAAACAATGTGGCACAGCTCTCTTTGAGCCACACAACTACAGCATGCTAGACAAAAATATCTCTGGTTATTCCCCCTCATAAAAAATTCCCTGATAGTGACAGGTAACTTCAACAAAAGTAAAAACGCAAAACTATAATGGCAGAAATACTAGGGTAGATGGAGCAGGAAAGAGATATAACAGAGGTAGTTCACAATAGGGACTTAAATCTTGACTTATTTCATTTTTGCCTGCAAGAAACAAAGAGCTTCTGGAGTTTCCTGGCCACTGAATTGAGAGACTGTGTGATGGATGGATGGGCAGAGATACAGACAAAGCACCCCCTGTGACAAATATACCTTAGTGCCTTTGTTGTGTAACTTTTTCACACAAAAGAATTCTAAACTCCAAAACCTCACACAATAGGTATACAATTCCTCTATGGGGTATCTCAGTGTTTTTCTCATTAGTGTAAAAATAAAATTGCAGGTATTCTTTATAATTTTAGTACAAAGATATTACAGTTAGAACCACACTAAAGTCTTTAAAATAAATGAATAAAACTACACTCTTTTAAGTGATCACAACTCTTTAGATGAAGAATTTATATGGGAGATTGATTGAAGCTAGATTGAAACTGCAGTTTGGGTGGAGAGGTGGCTAACTTTTCCATTCCATGCCATTTTGTCACTGTCACTTCTTCAATTTGTTCATATTCTCCCCAATGTTAATATTCTCTGCAAAAAGAACATGACTGAAGAGATGCTAGCTTACTTGAGTGCCATTTTTCTTGCAGAGGGGTAATAAATATTTAATAAAGAAAACCAATATTTGATACCTTCCTATCATCTCTCTATTGAAGGTTTTAAAAACTCCACCTTAGTCTTCACTAAGCGTAAGCCAGTATATTCCTGGGAAAAACCATGCCAGTGACATTCCATTTTGGGTGCTAATGTTCTGTTCCAATAACCTAACAAGGTCTTATGCTCCCATACCTTCATTGCATTGCTCTTCATCACTGCCATTGGCACAGTCTAGATGCTTATCACAGACCTTAGAGAACTCAATGCAGGTGCTGTCTTCCTGGCACTGGAATTTTCCTGGGCAAACTGAAAAATTTCAAAGCACAAGAAGAAAAGAATAATGGAGAAAAGAGAGTTGTGGAGACAGAAGAAGATGATCCTTTATAGTTTTAAATAACATTCTAAGAGAAAATGCTTTCTGCTTCAGCGTGTATTTGTTAATTTTGTTTGAAATGAATGTAATTGACCACTCTGGAAGCTCATCTGGATAGCTGGCATTTTATGTATGAATTATATTTGCACCATCCACCCAATAACATTTTTTCTCTGGAAACCTCACAAAATGCTTGAAAGACCCATGCATAGATCTAGCAGTGCCTATGTTGGCCATGTGTCCTCCTACTTTACAGACAGTTTTGAACTTGATGGGATCTTAAAGGACAAGCTTGTATTGAAGGTTTCCTGTATGTAACAACAACAACAACAACAATGTATTGTCGAAGGCTTTCATGGCCGGAATCACTCAGTTCTTGTGGGTTTTTTCGGGCTATATGGCCATGTTCTAGAGGCATTTCTCCTGACGTTTCGCCTGCATCTATGGCAAGCATCCTCAGAGGTGAGGTCTGCTGGAGCTGGGAAAAAAGGGGTTTATATATCTGTGGAATGACCAGGGTGAGACAAAAGGCTTTTGTAAGTTGGGCTAGGTGTGAATCTTTCAATTGACCACCTTGATTAGCATACAATGGGCTGACTGTGCCTGGAGCAAATTCTTCTTGAAGGGTGATTAGATGTCCCTGCCTGTTTTTCTCTCTGCTGTTTTTGCTGTTGCAATTTTAGAGTTTTTTAATACTGGTAGCCAGATTTTGTTCATTTTCATGGTTTCCTCCTTTCTGTTGAAACTGTCCACATGCTTGTGGATTTCAATGGCTTCTCTGTGTAGTCTGACATGTTGGTTGTTAGAGTGGTCCAGCATTTCTGTGTTCTCAAATATGCTGTGTCCAGGTTGGTTCATCAGGTGCTCTGCTATGGCTGACTTCTCTGGTTGAAGTAGTCTGCAGTGCCCTTCATGTTCCTTGATTCGTGTTTGGGCCACCCTGGTCATTCCACAGATATATAAACCCCTTTTTCCCCAGTTCCAGCAGACCTCACCTCTGAGGAAGCTTGCCATAGATGCAGGCGAAACGTCAGGAGAAATGCCTCTAGAACATGGCCATATAGCCCGAAAAAACCCACAAGAACTGAACAACAACAATAACAATTTTATTTTTATACCTTGCCTCCATCTCCCCAAAGGGACTCAGGGTGGCTTACATGGGGCCAGGCCCAGCAATACAGTTAAAACATAACATATTAAAATATAAAACAACAATATAAAACAAGACAAAATAAGAACAACATGATTATAACAAAATTATAACAATGATCAAACCAACAACCAATAGCAAGATTGAATGACTTGTCGCGGGTGGATGGACTGGTGCAACAACATTTCAGGGGATAGAGCTACTGTGTAAAGTGCGTGAGTCATATAGCAGCAGAAGGATAAGAGCACTATAAAATAGGTCATTATAACTCTGGATACAAAAAATAGTAAAGTGCAAGGATAAGAATTTTGGGTGCTAGATGGGGCTAATTATCTAGGCAATTGTCTGGTCAAAAGCACAGTGCAACATCCACATCTTTCTGTCTTTGTGGAAAGTGGATAGGAAGGGTACTAGCCTAATCTCCCTGTGGAGGGAGTTCCAGAGCCGGAGGGCTACGATTGAGAAGGCCCTTTCTCTTGTCCCCACCAACTGTGCCTGAGACAGAGGTGGAAGCGAGAGAAGAGCCTCCCCAGAAGATCATATAGGTTCATAAGGGAAGATGTGGTCATGAAGATAGGCAGGTCCCAAACCATTTAGAGCTTTATAAGTGATAACCTGCACTTTGAATTAGGACCAGAAACTTATTGGTAGCTAGTGGAACTGTTTAAACAGGAGAGTTGACTGCTCCCTGCAATTTGCTCCAATTAACAACCTGTACCAACTTTGTACCAACTGCAGTTTCTGGGCTGTCTTCAGGGGCAGCCCCACGTAGAGTAATCCAACTAAGGCATGGGCCACCATGGTTAAGTCATGTGTAGATTTCTGGAAACAGGCTACTCTTTTAACCTGCAGAGACATTGTTCTTCCATTATCTAGAAGACCTTCAACCAGCATCCCCCAAAATTGCTTCCTAAATATAATATCTGGTTGGTTTTGGAATAAAGATATGTCTGGAGGAAGTTCCTCAAATACTGACCAGTGAATAAGGATAGCCTCTGTTGAATTGAATGTATTAACACCTCTGAAGGTTTCTCTCATTCTAATTTCCTTGTTGGTCTCGGCAAACCAATGCCTTTGACAAGAAAGGAATGGAAATAAAGAATGACAACTCACCACAATTTCTCTCATCTAGTCCATTGGGGCAGTCCTCAATCCCATCACAAGCTGGCACACATAGTCCATTCACTGAGCAAAGGAATTCTCTTGGACAGGCTAACAAAAAGGATACAAGAATGCTAGTGGCAGAGATCATTGGTGGATTGTGTATATAACCACTCTATGCAGACATTTATTTATTAGTTATTTATTTACAGCATTTATATTCCACCCTTCTCACCCTGCAGGTAGATTAAAATGCACATATACATGGCAAACATTCAATGCCATTTAGATATACAACATATATAGACAGACACAGAGGCAATTTAACATTCCTGCTTTCAGGCTTCATGAGGGTATGCTCAATTCCGGCCACAGGGGGAGCTACCACTTCATCGTCTACTTGTGACACTGAGTCCTTGATGGAGTACTTCCTCATTCTTACACAAACTACTGGAAAGTTTTATGGTGTCATAAATTAGTTAAATTAGCCTCCCTGAATAAAGCTGTACCTAAATTTCCTACTTGACAGATGCAACTGTCTTTCGGGCTGCATAGGTCAATAGCAACCTAGACTATTAATGGTTGGGAGCTCACTCCGACCTGGGCTGGCTTCTAACTCATGACCTCTCGGACAGTAGTGAGTTAATACAGCTGGCTACTAACTAGCTGTGCCACAGCCTGGTCCATATCTTTGTGACTTCCCACCAGGAAGCTACCAAATCCCATGGAGACACTATTATGGCCACTAAATGGTCATTGAGGGAGTAGTAGTGGGTAGGAGAGGAATAGCCCGGAAATAGAGGTAAGCCTCCCTCTTTGCTCCTGTTTGCTATAGGGAGAGGAAATAGAATTAGGATCTTGTCCCCCCCCCCCTCCCGCTCTCTCTGGCCAGATGAGAGGAATTCCCCTCCTCCCACTCATCTCTGTCACGGCAACTGCCTGGGCTGTGGATTTGCATGGGATGTACAAAACAAGCCTTTTGCACCCTTGTAAAAGCAGTCCTGGCCAACCCGTGTGTTTTTCAAATAGAAAAAAGAAATGTAGGGGGAAAAAACCCAGACAAGGAATGCAAATGTTCTGTGTCTATATTTCTGGTCACTCTTTATAGTGATTGACAGACAAGCTCTTAAGAAGAAGGACACTGTTACATTTTTCCACAATACAGACTGAACATCTGGAATTCCAGAAACCAAAATCCAAAATTGTCCACATGGACGGCTAAGATAGCAACACCTTTGTTTTCTAATGGTTCAGTATACACAAACTTTGTCTTTAAAATATTGTGTATAAACAACGTGGTGATAATGCATAAAATAACCTACAGGCTATATGTAGAAGATGTATATGACACATCAGTTAAATGTCCTGTTGAGACTTAGGTTTTTATCTCCAAGATATCTCATTATGTATGCACAGTATATACAAATAAAGATATAAAATCTGAAAAAAAATCTCAAATTAAGAGCACATCTAGTTCTGAGCATTTGGACAAGGGCTATTCAACCTGTATTTCACATAGCTAGGTGGCTACTACTGCTGGTAGAAAATTCAATGTTGTACTTACGATTTGATTGATTATATAGACTGTAAGCAGCCTGAACACCAGGCCCAGTTAAGGTGATCTGGGAAGTGAAATTGATGGTGACACCAGCACTGGACACCACAGGGATCCTTTCAGCATAGGCTTGCAAAGTCCGTAGGCCACACAACCTGATTGTGAAAAGGAATGAAAGAAAATAGAAGACAGAGTATCCTAAAGGTGACATTGCTTTCATGTAAGATGGGAAAAAGAGGCAACAATGTGCTTTGTAAAACCCAATGCATAAGGAATATAGAAGCAAAAATGAGCCAGCCAGATGCAGAGGTGATTCTAGATTTGAGGAACCACTTTCCAATAAACACATCGGCTACTGCTGATACTCACATTTTCCTAGTATAGGAGGAGGGGTCCCTAGCTGCTTCCTTTAAAAAAAAAAAGAATGGCTGCACCATCAGGCTTCCAGGAGCAGCAACTTACTTTTCTCTTTCAGAAGGAGCAACTTTCTAGCTTGGAAGAGTCTAGAGCCACACACATGGTTCTGGCCCAGCTTACTTGTCCAAACATATCTTCCTCTACGTCCCACCTCATACTTTAAGATAGTCCAGGAGGCCCTGTTCTCAATCCCGCCTTCTTCGCAAATGCATTTGGTGGGGACAAGAGACAGGGCCTTCAAGGTGGTGGCCCCCCGCCTCTGGAACACCCTCCCAGCGAGATTAGGTCAGTTCCACCCTGCCTCTCCTTCAGGAAGAAGGTTACATCATGATTCTGGGACCAGGCATTTGGGGAGCAGGCTTGATAGCGTCCAATGGCAGTTTACGTGTACTCCCAATGGACAGGCTCTGACAAAGTCTTGGGATGCTGAATTGGATTTGATTTGGCTGAATGGTTGTTAATAAAGTTTTTTAAATGGATTTTAACTTAATGGTTTTATTTAATGTGTAATGTTGTGATATATCGTGTATGCATTCTGTATGTGTTGGCATCCAATTGTTGCCATTGTAAGCCGCCCTGAGTCCCTCTTCAGGGGTTGAGAAGGACGGGGTACAAATGTTGGAAATAAATAAATGAACATATACATAATCTTGGGGCTCATGTGAACTTTGACCACACCTTATGTAAAGCACTACCCATATTTGTGGGAGATATATTTCCAGCTGAATCGCATACCAGCTTGGAATCAGATTAAAACCACATATACAAACACACACAATTGAATGTCCTCACATTTGGTATGAGCATGCCTCAAAATTGTGCTAGATATACCCATTCTAGCAATTTATTAGGTTCTCCAAGGCAACTCTATAGTAACTTCTGTATGAGGTATACCATAAATTGCTTGAAGTATCTTGCACATTCCTAAAAAGACAATTTTCCTCCTGAGCATAAATACAGGACCTGAAACCATGGATATGAGTTCTACAATTACGGGGATTTTACAGCAAATTAGGAAGACCAACTTTCCTTCTGATACAGACTCAAGTGCTTTCAAAAGGTTAATTAAGGACAGAAACCCAACAACTACAGTTCTCCTTGGCCCAGAGATGTAGTGAAAGGAAAGTACTACATCTCTTGAATTTCTGCCTGTCACACAGCCATTAAAAGTTCAGAGCCAGAAGAACTGAGAGTACAGAGGATGTGAGGCATTGGGAGCAGATGGGGAAAACATTTCCCAGCTGCTGCCTTCTTGGGTGGTGGGAGGTGACCGAAGGGGGTGAGAGGAAGGAGGGGAGACAAAATAATTTCAACTTACTGAGAAATAACTAGAGTGAAGAAGCAATTGAAAGTCATTTCATTAAAGGATGTAATTAGAGTTGGTGATAAACAATTTGGGGATTTAAACATGAATGAAACTGACTGAGTAGTTTGAAAAGTAATGGCTGCCCTTACTCACTGACTGATATCCCAGCACATTTCAACAAGAAACAGTCTCATTGAACACAGTGACACTTATGGCTCTTAGATAGGCATGGGGTGCATCATCAGTCTCTGAATTCCCCTGTCTCTTTTCCAAAATCAAAGCAAGATCAATTGATGATACTTAAAAATGATGGTGGGCATGCTATTCAGTAATTACAATGCAGTAACCTTCACTTACAATATTATGATTACAGGCAGTCCCAAAGTTACAAACAAGATTGGTTCTGTAGGTTTGTTCTTGAGCTGAATTTGTATGTAAGTTGGAACAGGTACATTTTAAGTGTAACTCCAGACAAACATATACAGTAGAATCTCACTTATCCGACCTTCACTTATCCGACATTTTGTCTTATCCTGACAACTCCCTTTCCCCCTTCAATTAAAGGAGTGCTCCTCTACTTTCTTTCCATTTCCAATAAGTGAAAAAGTCAAGATGAGGAGGAGGAGGAGGAGGAGGGAGGAAAGCGGGAAAAGAGGCAGGACCAGAAGCGGAAGCCTCCTCCTTTCTTCCCTCTATGATTTCCACACTCCTTTTCCGCATCCAGGCACTTCCCGCTGGACTGATCTAGCCCTGAGGCATTGCTTTGCCTTAACCCTTTCAGTCCATGTTGTTAGTATTTTAGGTGTCTAGCACCATGGCAGATCAGTAGCAGTAGGAAACTCTGTATTATCCGACATTTTCATTTATCCGACATTCTGCTGGCCCGTTTATGTCAGATAAGTGAGATTCTACTGTCCAATTGGATTTTGAAAAATGTGGCTTGTTGTGCAAACAAGGATTGGGGATAAATATTGAGTGGAGATACCTTTTTTCCATGATAACTCTTCCAGGTGTGAATTCCCCTTCCTGGGGATAGATTTCTTTCATTTCCTGTTGTCTGTTCCTAAGTATGAGTCATTCATAAGTCAGATGTTTGTAACCTGGGGGCTGCCTATACATTAATTTACTTTTATGATCATTGTACCATTGCAATGACCAATAATGTTCCCCAAAACCTATGTTTCAAACATGCAGTTCTCTTAATAGATGAATTTCCAAGGTAATGTAGATTTGGGCATTGTCAAACCTTTTTTTGATACCTTGGAAATCCCTCTATTGGGGGAACTGCATAGCTTAAAAATAGGTTTTGTTTTTTTTAGGGGAGTTAGCACTGGCAGATATAGCCATGAAGACATAATCAGTCATCATAGCTATATCTTTCAGTTGGGGGGGGGGGTCTCATTTGTTATTAATAAAAATTTTGCTATAAGTTTACAAAACATTTAAAGGTTTTCTGTAGTTATAAAGGCACAAAAAGGAGACAGGCTTACAGCTTGACAAAGACACAGCTAATTTTTAAAAAAGGAATTGGAAAGGAAGAGGAAAGCATGCTCAGGAGTAGTTCCTTGCTTGGTCAATGGATGGAGCCAGGGTGGTCCTCCTGTTGCCCAGATGTTCTTCCTGGGAGGCAAAGAGACCCTTCCCCGACAGAAGAAACAAGTATGTGTTGCCCTTCACCTCTGCAGATACTATGAATAAGAATCTTTCAGGGAGGGTAATTTACAAGGCACTCTTACTTATTTCATACACACATGTACACAAGACAAATAAGTGTTTGTAAAACAGCTTTGAGATTATTGTTGTAATTTCCAGCCAGCCCTGTAAATTTTAAAGTAATTGTATCCCCTCACCTTCTGTTCTGGATGGTCCATTGTCCCTGAGTACACGGGAGGTCGTATTTCTGCCTTCTGAGAGTATAAGCATCAAACCAAAGAACAACGCCATATTCTAGAGATGGCACCTGTGGAAATGAACGTGTTGTTGTTGACAGTCATATGCATTGTGATTATTAACCGAGCTCTGCCCATGGCTTCAGAAGGAGGAATGAGAGCAACCAAAAACAGGAAGAACAGAGAGGAGAAACTAGAAAAATTATTTTTCTGGAGCACAACACTTGGAATTCACTGGCCAGCATGATGGCAAAGAGTAATGTTTTCAATCTCTGGGTTCCAGCTCTGCATTCCAGGGTCCTTACACAGCCATATAACCCAGAATATCAAGGCAGAATAACCCACAATATCTGCTTTGAACTGGGGACCCTTCCACACAGCACTATATTCTAGAATATCAAGGCAGAAAATCCCACAACATATGCTTTGAATTGGGTTATCTGAGTCCACACTCAGATAATGTGGATTTTCTGCCTTGATATTCTGGGATATAGGGCTATGTGGAGGAGCCCTGGGTTATCTGACTCCACACTGCCATATATTCCAGTTCAAAGCAGATAGTGTGGGATTTTATTCAGCTGTGTGGAAGGGGCCCCAGTCACCATCCATCTGATCACTTTGGGCAGATCACTTATTGCCAGCTTGCCAGATAAAGTATTCTGAGGAGGGAGTTGGGTAAAAAAAAGCCTTGCTGTTTTGAGTTTTGGTAAAAAGACAGGATATGAGTACAGAAGAAACGTTAAGCAAATTTAAACACATTTAAAGCAAATTTTTGTTATAAATAAACTTAAAAACAAGCACCTAACATGTACTTCCTACACAAGGTGTAGTTTGCCTTGGTATAGATATTTTTCTTTGGGGTTTAGAAAGGCACACTGCTCAGTTTCATCAGTGAAACAAGTCAACAGGAAGATCTTACCATCATATGCCAAGTGCACTGGGTGTTAGGTGCATAGTAACTAGGGTAATAAGGAGTCTTGATGTTTCCTTGCAACTCCCAGCTTTTCCGCAGAGTTAGATTCACCTGGCAGACTGAAAAGACAGAAGCATTTTTAAAAAAAATCCAGCTCTCAACATGTTAGTGCTTGGCCATGGTGTAGGGGGATTCTAGTTGTTGTATTTCTCAAGGCAACATTGTTTTCTAACTCTGCTTATTCATACAATTCTAGAAAAGGGGCTTGGAGGCAAAAAAAGAGAGGAAAAAAACAAATAAAGAAGTGCTATTTTTTACATGAAGAATGTCTCTCTAGGACTTTCCCAGATATTCCAGCATGACTCTATGGTTGACTGGTTGGAAACTGACCATAGAATCTTGGTAGAGCACATAGAGATTCCTAAAGAGGTGCTCTCTCTAGAAATCTCTAGGTCCTCCAGCATGACTGGAAGAAGTTGATCATAGAGTCCCACTAGAGCAGTGGTTCTCAACCTGTGGGTCCCCAGATGTTTTGGCCTTCCAACTCCCAGAAATCCTAACAGCTGGTAAACTGGCTGGGATTTCTGGGAGTTGTAGGCCAAAACACCTGGGGACCCACAGGTTGAGAACCACTGCACTAGAGGACTTAGAGATTCCTAGACGGAACAAATTTGTGAATAATCAGATCTGAAAAGTCAAAATTACAAAAGTCAAAATCACAGGAGCAGACAACTCCATGTGTCTGACTATGATCTAATTTGGCCAAGTCCTAATCAATAGAAATTCTGCTACATTTCAACAGAGCTTGGAAAAAAATAGTGTTATGATGAACAGCTCTCAGAATGCCTAGTTAGTGGGAAATTCTGAGAGTTGCAGTTCAGAAAGTGTTTTGTTCATTGAGCATCTCAGATAAGATATTGCTATAATATATGCAATGAGGCAAATGCTTTGGTAAAAATCCCTCCCCCCCCCCCTCTTCCTCCCTCTCTCATGCCTTCTCTGGACATTCAGTAATCCTTGCTCACCTTCCAAGGGCACAGCCTGGGCAGATAGTATGAAAGGATCATAGTAGCTGTACATTCCCTTCTTCCACACCACAGACATGATGGGCCCAGAAGACAGGACTTCTACCACCGGCTCCTGGCGGCTGCAACCATACAGCCTGAGACAAAGAACAAAAATGTGAAGATGTTTTGCCAACGTGGGATGAAGGGGAAAAAAGATGAAAGAGTTCTTTTGAAGTTAACAGATAAGAAAAGAGGATAAGCTAGTTTGGGATCTTTATTGAGATTTGTGTCTTTTTATATATGTGTGTCATAGAAATACACATCACTTCCGGCACAGCAGAAGAATGTATAAGTAAGTAGTGGCTACAGAGACCTATCAAGAGTTTATCAACTGGTGAGAGACAGCTTAGGAATCTCATTTTCTTAGTGTTAAACTTCATGGTGAAAATAACAAGATATAAGTGAAACATTTCCATACATATAAATAAAATAAATTTTTGAAAATAGGTGATGAAATGAAGTTTAAGGGGGCTGGCTATATAGTCCCACAAAACACATAAATCCTCTTTCTAGTTCATCACACTAGAGAAAAAAATCCACTTAAAATCCAGTTTCTGCCTCTTGCAGAATTCTAGGGTTTGTAGTTTAGGGAGAAGCCTTTAACATCCTCACTAAACTACAAATCCCAGAATTCTGCAGGAGGCAGGAACCAGATTTTAAGTGGATTTTTTCTCTATTGTGTTATGCCCCCTTTTAAAGCACATATTTGGCATGTTTGAAATGTTTAATATGTTTTAATAATTTGAAACACTATTTTAATTGATATGTATGTTTTTTACAGTTTTATACTATTGTTTTTTATATTGTTATTATCTCAATCTGGCATTGAATTATTGCCATAATTTGTAAGCCGGCCTGAGTCCCCCTTTGGGTGAGAAGGGCAGGGTGTACGTACAGCAAATTATTTATTTATTTATAATAAATAAATATCTCTAATTGCCATGTGAGCTACAAAATTGTTTTTTTAAAATGAAAGATTTGCTATATTCTGTATTTTTGGCAGTTTTCTCCTACATGCAGGGTTAAGTTCTATATGTGCAAAAAACTACACATGAAACTTATAAGCTTGAATGGGCATGAACTGTGAGTGTGAACTCACAAATGTATGCGTTACAAATGAAAATACAATGAAGTGATTGAAGTGTTTTTGAAGGCTTTCATGGCCAGAATCACTGGGTTGCTGTGAGTTTTCCAGGCTGTATGGCCATATACATCCTCTCCAGATGTTTCACCCACATCTGTGGCAGGCATCCTAAGAAGTTGTGAAGTTTGTTGGAAACAAGACAAGTGAAATGTATATATCTGTGGAATGTCAAGGGTGGGAGAACAAACTGTCTGTTTGAGGCAAGTGTGAGTGCTGCAATTGTTTAGCATCGAATAGCCTTGAAGCTTCAAGGTTTGGCTGCTCCCTGCCTGTGAGAATCCTTTGTTTGGAGCTGATTAGGGCCTGGGGGAATCCTTTATTGGGAGGTGATTAGGGCCTGGGGAAAATCTTTTTTGGGAGATGATTAGGGCCAGCTAATCACCTCCCAACAAAGGATTCCCCCAGGCAGGAAGCAGCCAAGCCTTGAAACTGTAAGGCTATTCAGTGCTAATCAAGGTGATCAGCATTCACACTTGCCTCAAACAGACAAGAGTTTTTTCTCCCACCCTGGACATTATACAGATATGTAAACCCTACTTGCCTTGTTTCCAACAAACCTCACAACCTCTGCCTTTCACAGATTTATGTGAAACACCAGGACAAAGTGCTTCTGGAACATGCCCATACAGCCTGGAAAAGTCACAGCAATCAAATGATAGAAGGCTTCTAAAAATCCCGGAATATTTATGTTGTTGTCCCTTGCCTTGATCCATGGGGAGACCAGAGTCTGATTCCCCCCTCCCACCAAAGTTGTGGAACTCCATTGGGTAATCCTGGACAAATAGCATTCTCTCAAGCTTAGAAGACAAGTACAAACTTATAAAGAAATGTTGCCAAGAAAGCCCTAGGATACTCTTGTTTTAAATTAGAGTTGGTCTGAAGACACATATTCAACAAATAAACAAAAATTAAGTGTGTTAGACATCCTGAAACAATGTTAAACTCGACTTACAATTGGGGATAAAATGGAAAGAAGGTACTCTGACGTGAATGCATACCCCTTGCTGTTCATGCCAGTATGAGATGAAAGCTACCTACGATGTGATGAGCTGCTTCTCCAGAGGTCCAGCTGCATCATACATGGCCAGCCGGTCCCTGCATTCTGGGAGGGTCCATTCCAGGCGTAGCTTTATCATGTGATCTTTGGGGCCATGAAGATGCCAAAGGCAGCTGGAGGCGAGAAAGTCTGGTCCCTTCAGCTTTAAGACTGTATCCTCCCTGATATAGCTGTATCTGTAGCAGCCTAAACAGACAAGATGAAGACATCTGTAGACCAGAATTTGGAAAAGTAGCATTCTGGAGAAGCAAAATTTCCAGACGTTTCCATTCACCATGGCAAGTATACAGTGTTAAAGGATGCCAAAATAGGCAAAAGAATGATAGCTGGAACCCAATGCTGGTTGGGCAACGTGGGTCAGAATTAGAGAAGCAAAGATATGCACGAGACAGCGTTACATTTATAGCACACTTCATCCACATGTAATTAAGTTAAGTTTGAGTGAAAGTGAAGAATGGTTAAAAAGCCTGTCAGTTACCAATAGTTAAGTTTATAGGACGCACAAGCGTCTCTCACTCGCTGTGCGAGTGTACCTCTGACCCATGTTGCGCAACCAGCATTGGGTAACAGCTATCATACTTTTGCCCCAAAATACTGATTTTCTTAAAGTAGCATGGCTTAGCAATGATAGATTACTAGTAGCCAAGAGCAAGTATTTATAGATTAAAGTCAATACATTGTACAAGTAGCAGTTGCTACCACATGCACCTTAAACACCTTAAACTATCTGTAAGCATAAGATAGATAGGCATTTTAAAGCATAATCGTTTGAAAAGTTGCAAGGGATTTGAATGCATTACATCTCCAAAACCTGTAATGAAGTCTGAGGAATTTTGCCTCCCCAACAGATACACTCCTGCCCTTATTTATCATAGTGAGGGCATTTCTTTTTTCGTGTAAGGAGCAACTCGAGAAACTGCAAGTCACTTCTGGTGTGAGAGAATTGGCCGTCTGCAAGGACTTTGTTCAGGGGACGCCCGGATGTTTTTGATGTTTTACCATCCTTGTGGGAGGTTTCTCTCATGTCCTGTATGGGGAGCAGGAGCTGACAGAGGGAGCTCATCCACACTCTCCCCGGATTCGAATCTCCTAACTGTCAGTCTTCAGTCCTTCCGGCACAAGGGTTTGACCCATTGTGTCACTGGAGGCTCCCTATCATAGCCATTGACTTTGCTAGTTAGAAATTCTGGGAGTTGGAGTCCAAAAATGTCTATTCCTATTTCTACTGTTATTAATTTCCATCTTCCTGTATCAAAGATGAATGCTGCTACTATTATTTTTGTATTGTTGTCATCATGATCCTTATTGCTATCATTATTCCGTTATTCATCAAAATAGTTCCAAAAAGGATAATAAGAATCAGACAATCCCTCAGCATATCAGCTATCACAGCCTATAAAAGCAGCACAGAACACTATAAATAGCTTCCCCTTGGATATAATATTAATTTATGAGTCTTATATGCCTGCTGCCTTCACCTCTCCCACCTTTCATTGCAACAAACATAAAAATAATGGGGAAATAAACAGCCTACCCAATGTGGATTTCAGCACTATTATGTCTTTCACACTGGAATCTGTTGATGGGAAAAAACATAAAGAAAGGGATGAAATGAAATGAGATAAGATTCTACAAAGGGAAAAAAAACATAAAAAGGTGAAATGAACTAATGCAAGAGAGAAAAACACCCTGAAAATTGATAGAAAATATTCCTAGCCATTTTATTTTAGGTTGAAATGCAATGCTAAATGAGGGATGCATGGCCTTCTGTGTGTGGCCAGATCTCACACTCCCTTATAATTTCTGTGCTGTCTAGGTCTGATGGAATTGGACATCACCAACCCCTGGAAGACTACATGATTCCCATTTTTGGTTTAGAGTCATGTAAATACTGGATGTTGACTCAAATTCTCCCCTTTCCCTTTCACTAGCATTCATAGCCTGATTTGAACTTTTGTTGTTGTTTGTTGTTTAGTTACAACTATGGTTTATAGAAATAGCACAAACCACAGTTTGATCTTTGCTCATAACTGAAAAATGCATTACTGTTTGTTAGTGTTGGCTCTGGCAACAAATCATCTGTAGTTTAAACATGGGATGCTTCTAATGTCCTCCTTCTGGCTCGCTATTAAGGAAACATGATGGTAAGAAAGCAAAGCAAATTAATTTGGGTAAGGCTGAACTGTATTCGCAGTATAATAATAATAAATCTTTATTTATACCCCACCACCATCTCCCCGAAGGGACTCGGGGCAGTTCACAGAAGCACTCCAAGTGCCACATATAAACAACAATACATAAGTTTATACACAGTGACATAAATGTAAAAACAGTATGGCCAGGTTTTACATGAGAACTCTCACTGATTATGATAAGCAATTTGCCCTACCTTCCCAGAATTCCTGCACTTAATATTATGTCTGAATCCTAGTAGCTTGCCACAGCTAGAGAAGATAACTGAATTGGCTGATGATAATGGGCTTGAATTTTAAATATGTTTGACTGTTTATAGTATTATGTTTCTGTTTTTGTTTTAGAACACTTTGTGTTTCTATGTCAATAATGGTAATGTTTTACCTTTTTAGAAACCGCACTGAGTCCCTTCAGGGAGATAGAGCGGTATGCAATTATTATTATTATTATTATTATTATTATTATTATTATTATTATTACAAGATGCACTGAATAGCTCTGGTTCATCTCCTCCCTCCCCTTTTAATTTTTAAATTGCAAAATACTCAGAAGTTACAATTAAGTTAATGTAAAGGTTTTACCCTAACAGTAAGTCCAGTCGTGTCCAACTCTGGGGGTTGGTGCTCATTTCCATTTCTAAGCCAAAGAGCCAGCATTGTCCGTAGACACCTCCAAGGTCATGGAGCCGGCATGACTGTATAGAGCACTGTTACCTTCTCATTGGAGCGGTACCTATTGATCTACTCACATTTGCATGTTTTCGTACTGTTAGGTACTGTTAGTGTGGCTAACAGCGGGAGCTCACGCCATTCTCCATATTCAAATCTGTGACTTTTTGGTCAACAAGTTCAGCAGCTCAGTGGTTTAACCCACTGTGCCACCAGGGCCTCCATCTTACCTAGGTGCTATTTGGATTATCTTTTGTTTTCTTGTGCTAGCTTTCACCCAAAAGCCCCTTACTCAGAGACCCTTGAGGCCTCCTTAATTTCCTTTAGAATTTCTATCACATTATTAATATTTTTAATTTTTTCTTCCTTCTTTTGTTCAAAAGACTACTTTCCATTTTCACTTGATCAGAGTTCAGTCTCATTTTGTATAAACTTTTGATACAACTGGAGAAACTTTATATAACATTTTTTCACAGGCTATCAGCGTAATTAGACTTTAATTAGACATTTACTATCTGAACTAAACTCTGTTGCACTTTGACATTTATCAGCTTTCGGCTTGGTTTCAGTTTTAAAGTTTCTGTCTTATTGGCCTGTATAAAAAGAACAAAAAAGAAGTCTTTAAAATAATGACACCCTTAGAGATTGTCATACTAATTGAGTTTTTTTTTACTTTATCTATGAGATTAGTTCTAGTTATGGAGTTTTTGGTCAGTTGAACTTCAGAAGTCATGTATACAATACTAGAGTGCAGTGAGAAAAGTGTACGGAAAAATGACCAGGAGTCATGTACAGCTCTTAAACTACAAATTCCACACCCTAATTTCAGAAAAAGTGCCCCCAGTGTAAATTATCACTCAATAAAAACAAGACAGTCCCTGACATCGGGCTCATGTCTTAAAATATTTATAACAAAAGGAAAATACTACAGCGAGAAAGGAAAATATGTAGAACTACATTTCTCATAAGTCTCTATGGTCAATGGTCATGAAGTCTGGAGGGCACCAGATTACCCACTGTAGTATCTGGGCCTGAGTCTCCTGGGATCCACACTGCTTCTTTCTTGCTCCATTTCCACACCCTTTTTGTACTTTTCTCACAATCTCTTTCCCTTCTTTGTTCCTTTATAATTGTTTAACCACTCAGTCTATTATCTGATCTCTTGATGCATCTGTCCTAATAAGCTAGCTCTCAACTTTCTACCACATCCTATTATTTTTGAGTTTTTTCTTCCTAATTAAACTGGCAATTAAGTGCCAAGGGAAAAATATCTCATTTAGGACATGTCTCATCAGGAGCTTCCAGGCCTACTATCTTTCGTACTGTAACATTATGTTCAGTGCTCAAGAAAGAAATTCCTGTTGAAAACAGGAACCTCCACAGGATCTGTGTCACATATGCCAGATGCATAGTTGTCTTGGTCTGCAGTATAGACTAGAAAAGGTGTGAGAATCAGGCAACTCTCGAGGGGTTTTTGGACTGTCAAACTCACCAGCCTTTGATTGAGATCTTACATTTTCTCCTCCCCCCTCCCCCACCTGCCTTTTCTACAGTAGCTGGTAAATAACTAACTGCTTGTGTGAACTCCTTTTTGCAATAATGACAGCAAAACAAAGTTTGCAATGTGATGGCAACTTTATAAAGGCTAAATTATTTTTGGTGGCATAGTTTGAGTTAGTTTTATCATTATAGGGATATGGCTATACTAAATGATGGAGGAGAAGAATCACATATGACCTCATCAGACGGGCCAATTTGCCTGTCATATGCTACTTCACTTCCCTTTACAACATGGAGCCTTTCACACAACGTAAAGGGACTTCTGGTCTGGCTCCATGCTGAAAAAAGGAGGCAAAGTAGCACCCACTGCTGCTGTAGCAACATGGGAGTCTTCCCATGTTGCCTTCCCTTCAAGGAGAAGAAGATGGGTGATGATGCTTTGGGATGAGGGAGAAGGTAAGGTGGGCGATGCAGGTGTGAAGCAGCAGCTTCTCCATGCACCCTGCTGGGAGACCATGGATTTTCTCTGATGTGGGATGAATCCATGGGCTTTTATTAGGAGGTCCTAGTTCAAATGCTGCTTTGTGCTGTGCTTGATGCTGCTGCCTTTGGCTCTGTTGTGCTGATACATGCCTTACGGCTAATCTACAAAACAACATGAATAGAAGGTTGGCTGTCTTCATAAAGCACAGCTACTTCTGGTGAGTATCCCTGTTCTTTGATTGTTTGTTTGTTTAAACTAACTGTCCGACTTTGGATAAAGTTTTGGAAAACTCCAGAGTTTGCTTCCTTCTTCCCGGTTGGGGTGGGGGTGGGGGGATACCTTTGTCATTGTAAGAACAGGATGCCTACATTGTCTCTCTCTTTCCCCCCTTCCTTCATACTGGCCATGCAGGTGTCCCATTCTGAAGCCAATAAAGGCACCTGTGATGATCAGAAGATCTCCTGGATCTCTGTGGCCAGATAAGAGTGGCAGTAATGACATAGATGAGACACAATTTATACTCCCTGGCCATGTGAACAGTGACTTCAGATTTTGCATTAAGGATGAGTCATTAAAACAACACACTATGAAGTCTCATACTGTATTCAGAAATTTCTACTGTAGGATCTGAAGCATTCCCCATGCATTTAATGAGTGTGGTGATGCACTGAAGCAAGGGAGTAAGTGGGAAGAAAATAGGCCTATGTGTGTGATACACAATAGAAGAGACACTGAGCTGTTCTTTAATGCCAGATGATTTTGACAAGACAAGTGAAAGCAAAAGGCAATTAAGGGGGAAATGACAGCTTGATATGAATAGAGATGAGAGGAAAAGAAAACTGGGGTAGGGAGATATGCTTAAGGTCTACAGCTATGCACACAAGCAAGCTAAAAGAAGATGTTTATGAGCTTCAGGGGGGTTTCCAAACTTGAGCCCTTTAACCCTGCTGAATCACTGCACTGGAAGTCGGATTATAACTGCCCTCTAACACTGCACAGATTAAGCATATCTCTCCATCCTCACCACAATCTCCCAAACTTTCAACAAATCAAGCCCCTTTGATCTTTGATCTGGGACAGCAATTATAACTAATAATTTGTTACCGTTATGCATACAAAGTAATTTTCAGAGCTCTAGTGCTGGAGATATCATTGAAGGACTGATGGGAGGTCTGGCCACATTATTAGCATTTTTGTCTCCAAAGTTGCTCAGTTTGATTTCCCCACCCTTTCTATTCAGGTCTTCTTATGCAATGTAGATTTTTCATAGTCTCTTTCCTCCCTTTCACCAATATTAATCTAGAGTTCTCCTTACTTTTCATCATAAAACTTTATTCCTCCCTAGTCAGCTCCTATGCTATTTCATTCCAGAAGTTGTCTATGAACAAAACTCTGGATTCACCTCAGATCCAATGTTGGCAGTCAGTAACTACTACTAAGTATCCTGATCTTTTCCCTCTTAACTCAACTTTAGGCAAAGTCATAGGATACTCCAATGTTGGCAAGGCATTCTCAAGTATCTGTGGGTTTTACAACCGCCTGGATAACAAGGCTAGAAATTTGAAGAAAGAAGATGTATTTCACATCAGAGTGGCAGAATTCTCAGTTCAGTCAATACTCTCAATTTGCCCAGTGGACCACCTAGTCAGACAGGTGGCTGGAATGTTTCCTGGGCAGGTCCCATAGGCTGGATTGCTCTAGCAGTCAAAGTCCTATTCCTGAGTGAAACCT